TTGAGGATGCCTGCTTTAGAGAAAGGGTTGGCAAACTTTGGCCCTTAGGCCAAATCTGATCCACTGCCCATTTTTATAAAGACAATTTTATTGGAACACAGCCACACCTATTTGTTTATGTATTGTCTATGGCTGCTTTTACTCTGTGGCTTTAGTCTGTTGATTTATTGTCTATAGTTTAATTTTACTCTATAACAGCCTTGAGTAGTTGCAACAGAGACTAAATAGACTGCAAAGCCTAAGATATTTACTATCTGACACTTTATAGAAAAAGTTTGTTGATCTTTACTTACTTTAGAGTTGATAGTATACATCTCCAACTTATCACAGTCTAACATCAATTGATGTTGTAACACTTCATATGTAGTAGAAGAACCTTAAAACAGTATATTTTTATTTTTTCCCTTCCTTTCCTTTCCCTTTGTGCTTTTTATTTTTTCCCTTCCTTTCCTTTCCCTTTGTGCTATTTTTGTCAAACATTTTAGTTCTATATGTGTTATAAACCACACAATCCAGTGTTATTATTTTTGCTTTAAATAGTTATTTTTAAAATGATTTAAAATTTCTATTTATATGTAAATTGATTAATTTATACTCATAATTTTATATTTTCTATTTACCCACATATTTGCTATTTCCAGAGCTCTTCATTCCTTTATGTAGATTCAGATTTCCAATTGGTATCATTTTTCTTTTGCCTGAAGGACTTCCTTTAACATTTCTTATAGTTTTAGTTTGGTGATGATTAATGCTTTCAATATTTGTATATTTTTAAAGGTCATAATTCTGCTTTTGTTTTTGAAGATATTTTTACTGGGTGTAGGATTCTAGGGTGATAGTGTTTTTCTTTCAGTACCATAAAGATATTGTTTCTAACATTAATCTGCTGTCATTTTTATATTTGTTTCTTTATATGACACATATTTTTTTTTCTCTGCCTGATTTTAAGACTTTCTTTTTATCACTTTTAAAAGCAGTTGGATTATGATGTTCTTTGTTATAGTTTTCTTCATGTTTCTTGTGCTTGAAGTTCATTAGCTTTCTTGGATTTGTGAGTCTATATAGTGTTTATAAAACTTGAAAAATTTTCAACCATTTTTTCTTGAAATACTTTTTCTATTTTTTTTTCTCCTATTTCTTTTTTGCAGAACCTGATTACATGTATACCAGACTTCTTGAAGTTGCCACTGAGCTCACTGATACTCTATTTTCTAGTCCTTTTTAATCTCTGTGTTTTATTTTGGATGATTTTATTTCTTTGTCTTCAGGTTTACTAATCTTTTTTCCTATAGTGTCTAATCTGCTGTTAATGTCTTCTAGTATATTTTTAATCTCCGATATCTTAGTTTTCACATCTAGAAGTTTGATTTGGATCTTTTTTTTAAATCTTTCGTGTCTCTACTTAATATGTTCAGTCTTTTCTCTAGCTTTTTGAACATGTGGAATACGGTTAGTGCAGTGGTTATAATGTTCTTATCCACTAATTCTATCATCTGTATCATTTTGAGTTGGTTCTGATTATTTTCTCCTCATTTTGAAGTGTATTTTTTTCCTTTCTTTGTTTGCCTATTAATTTTATTTATTTATTTATTTTTGAGACAGAGTCTTGCTCTGTCACCCAGGCTGGAGTGCAGTGGTGTCATCACTGTATCTCCCAACTCCCAGGCTGAAGTAGTCCTCCCAGCTCAGCCTCCCGAGTAGCTAGGACTACAGGTGCCCATCACCACATCTACAAAATTTTGGTAGACAAAGGGTCTCAGTATGTCGCTCAGGCTGGTCTTGAATTCCTGTGCTCAAGTGATCCTCCCACCTTGGCCTCCCAAGGTGCTGGGATTACAGGGGTGAGCAACCACACCTGGCCCATGCCTGTCAATTTTTTATGAATGCCAGATATTTTTAATTTTACCTGATGGGTGCTCTCTATTCTTATAATCCCATAAGTATTCTTATGCTTTTATTATGGGATGCAGTTAAATTATTTGGAAATGGTTTAATCTTTTCAGGTTTTGCTTTTAAGTGTTGTTAGCTAGAACCAGAGCAGCATTTAGTGCAGGGTTAATTTTGCCCTATTTCTCAAACAAAATACTTCTGCATACTTTATATTCCATGAATTATGAGGTTTTCCAGTCTGACTCATGGGAATAGGAGCTATTCTTGTCCCTATGTAAATTGTCCACTGTAATTTTTTCAGTTGGTTCTTTCCCCTGCCTTGGGTAGTTTTCTCACGTGCATGTGTTGATCAATACTTAGGAAACTATCAGGGGACCCAGGTACAGAGCTCTATAGCTGTTTCTCTGGGTAGCTCTCTCTTCTCTGGTGCTTGATCTGTGAACTCAAGCTGTCTTGGCCTTTCTGGACTCAGAGAACCATTTCTTAATGGAAGAAGACCACCAAACTTCCAGATCCCTCCTTCCTGTGCTATAGTCTGGAAACCTTCTCCAGGTAGAAAACTGGGGGCAATCTTGTTGCCAATCTCATTTATTTTCCTTCTCTCAGGAATTCCTGTCCTTTGTTGCCTGATGTCTAATGTCTTGATTGTTTCATATATTTTGCTCATTTTTAACTTTTTTTCCAGATAGGAGGGCAAATACAGTTTCATTTTGGCTAGAAGTAGGAGTTCAATTATCCAGATTGTTGTTTATTATTGATTGATTGATTAAGACAGAGTCTTACGCTATTACCCTGGGTAGAGTGAGGTGGTGTCATCATAGCTCACTGCCACCTCAAACTCCTGGGCTCCACTGATCCTCCTGCCTCAGCCTCCCTGGTAGCTGGGACTACAGGTGGGAACCACCATGCCTGGCTAAGTTTTCTGTTTTTTTGTAGAGATGGGGTCTTGCTCTGTCTTGTTCAGGTTGGTCTCAAACTCCTGAGCTCAAGTGATCCTCCCGCATTGGCCTCCCAGAGTGCTAGGATTACAGGCATAAGCTCCCATGCCCAGCCCAGCGTGATTTTTAGAATCCTACTTTCCTGGTTGTTCTCATCGAGAGGGTTTCTCTGACATATGCCATTCCACTATAGCCAGAAGCCTTTGATCTCCTTTCTAGTTGAGGAGAAATCTCTCCTTCCCCTAGGAGAACGCCCTTCCTTTTACCTTTTTATAATCCCCTTTTCTTTACTGCCTTCTCTGCAAACCCTCTTAGTTGTTCTATGGACTTGGGCTTTTAGAAACAAGAGCTAGGAAGCCTTGGAGCTACTTCTGCTTTTTTATTTGTTTTATAGTTCCCTTAAAGCAAAAAAATACATAGACATCCACCTACTTAAATGGGAAGGGGAGGAGAAGGGAAGAAAATAGTAAATGTTCTGTATATAGATATCTCCAAATATTTTCTAACTAAATATATATTCAGCTGCTTTCATTTGCTTCATCCTTAACCCAGGCAAATTAGGCGAGATTGTCCTCTTCCCCATTGTCTCAGTCATTCATTTATTGAGAATTTGCTATGGGCCAGCTCAGGAAGAGGAAGCATAGAGTTTAAGAGCCTGGGCTCATTAGACAAACTTATCAGACCCCAGCTGTTCCACTTAAAGGCTGTGTAATTTGGATCTAACAACCCTCTAAGCATCAGTTTCCTCATCAATAAAGCTGGTTCATAACAGTATCCCTTGGGGGGCCCCTATTGGAATCAGGCTTCCCTCTCTGAAAAAAAAAGGTTTGTTTTTTCAAAAATTCGGAGATGAAGATAGGGGCCTTAAAGGTAGTTTCTATGCAAACCATCCCCTGCTGCTGCCAACACATAAGCTTCTTTTTGCTTTTTCTTGGCTATCTTTTCTCCACCTCTGCACAATTTTCTCTCTGAGGCTGAGGACTCTGATGTTAAAATAATTTGATTGACTGTTGCAAACAGCCCACAGAGTCAGGATGGGCCCTCACCCAAAATTTGACTTGGATGTCAAGACTGATGGTGCCATACATACACTTATCAGGAACGTATGATAAGATTCACTAATCGCATAATGAGGCTTTCTGGGGAGAGCAGGACAGGCTTCCTGATCTGACTCAACAGTGATTGAGAGCAGGGAACTGGAGACTAGCTTGGGGTTTTCCTCCTGGTGAGGAGGTGGGGCTGCAGGGAGGCAGGGCTTTGCATGGTTTGAACTTCCAGTCGGTGCCACAGGAGGGAGTACTGGGTTGTCTCCTCAGCTTGCCCACTCGTGGGCAGAAGGGGAAGAGGCGGGTGGGAGGCTTAAGAGCTATTAGCCATCAAACATGAAAAAGTAGATTCAGAGTCCATGACACTCACAGATTAGAGTTTGTAATCAACCTGTTATTTAGACAGATGCTACCTGCAGAGTTCTAGCAACCGTGGACAGTTTCTCAGATGAGGGTGGGGGGCGTTGATACATCATGTGGACATTTATACATCACAGCCCAGACATACAAAATTTTACCTTGATTTTCTTTTTTTTTTTTTTTTTTAAAACATTCTTCAAACTCATTGATTTTCTATAGATGACTACATTCTGCTTTTTAACCCAATGCCTACTCAAAGCAGAACGTAACCTTAGATTTGACTTACACAGTGCCCTGAAAAATGAGAGCCAGGCCCGAGCTGGATTTCCCTAACCTCTCTGGATCTTTGTGGGCTTTGCTGATGTCTGACTCTGGGCCAAGGAGGAGTGAGGATGCTTGCTCTGCCCCTGCCCTTCACCTCATCCAGGCTGCTCCCAGAATGGTTTTTGTGTCTCCCTCATGGCAAGAATGTCTTTCCTATTATATCTGTCCTTTTCCCTGGGATAGCCCACTTCAGTGAGCTTTCTGTGACCATGTCTTGATACTTTAAGAACTGGAAGGGAAAAACCTCTTGTCCAGCTCTAAAGGGGGAAAAATAAGTGGGGAATACATTTTAAAAGTCCAGTTTCATGTTTATCTCCTGTCAAAAGGCAAGTTTCTCTTCTATGCCATTTAAAATAAAACTTGAATATACACCTCTGTGTTTTCTGCATTTGTCAATTCATTGGTTTGTGCTAATTTTCATTTTGTTATTTTTGTTGTTTAGGTTTTACTGCTGCATATCCAACACAGTCCTCTATTCCTTTTAAATCCCAAATTCCAGTAGTTCCAGAATCAGAAAAGAAAGGATTCAATATTCAAGCCAAGAGATTTTATCAAAAGACGGTAATGACATCATCTTAAAGGTTCTTTGGTTTTAGTCTGGATTTTGGCCTCAGGGGACTGGCACCCTGTCTGGCTGCTGCGTCTCTCTGTGGACAGTGGAGGGCAGTGTCATCCAAGGAGCCATAGTACCTGTTCCCTGAGGGGCATTCACTGGATTGTAGAAACCAGCTGGAAGAATGTGACATACAGGGAAAACAACTATGTTCAGATTTAGGGTGTCCAAAATATTGAACTGGACCAAAACTGTTTTTAAGAAAAAATATATTTTAAAAATCATTATAAAACTAAAAAATTCAAAAAATCCCAGGTGTATCAATCAAGTAAAAGGTTTAAAAAATCCCTCCTACTCTTTATGAGAGGAAATCACATGACTTTCTTCAAATAACAGGGGAAGAAGCCTCTGATAGGTTTAGAATTACCTTTTTGATGAGGCCCATCCCCTCCCCCCTTTTAAAACTTCCTTAAACAATGTGATGTTATTATTTCTGTATTCTCCCTTACCCTATCAATTCCCCAAATCTCACTGTGTCTCTTTCCCTCTCTAATCTGGAAAGTTCTGCTTGGTTTCAGATGGGCCCTTATTTTTAACCTTTGGGATTTCTGGGGTCTGACTTTCTCCTCAGTCACCAGCAGGGGGCTGAAATAACCCACAGACATCCTTAGAGTCTTTAAAGTTTTCATTCCTTCACTCATTTAAGCAAGACCTTTGGAAGAACATACTTTTCGAGGAGTCATCATCTCAGTTACCTTTTGCTGCATTCTAAAAATGGTTTTTGTCCTACCACCTTACCCAGATGGTCAAGAGGAGATGGAGGTCTAGGTTCTGAGTGCAGGTGAGGCATGAAGTTGAAGGTCTTGGCATGTCCCCTACCCTCGGCCTAATTCCTCCTTGGTCAACAAGAACACTGAACTAGAGAATGTTTTAAGTTTCTTCCACTTCTGATATTTTAAGATTCTAACAAAGCAAATAATAAAGAATATAGTGTATATACACATACACTTTTTTAAAATAACTTGTAGGTTTTCCTCAATTAGATACACACTTGCTCAGAAGTTTCTCTCTTCTCTCTCTAGTTCCTCTGTGTTTTAACTGTCTGTCTCCCATTTTCTGTCTGGTTTCCCGTTTGTAATTTTCATGATACTACATTGTCCATCTCTAGGATATTTGCAGCCAGCCTCCAATAAAAATAATAGAAGCCACCATTTACTCATCCCTACTATGTGTCAAATCATTTTTAGACTAATTTTCATCTCTAATCCTCAGAACAATGCTTAAAGGAAGGGTTTATTGTCTTAAATTAATAGAAGAGGAAACCGAGGATTAGAGAAGTTGAATGACCCACCCAAGGTCATACAACACAGGGTTTGGCACATAAGAGGCTCAAAATAAATGTTTGCTGAATCAACATTGAAAGAATTAGACCTCAACCTAGGTCTCTCTCCCTCCAAAGCCTCTTGATCTTTCCACATACTGCACCACGCCTGCCTTTGTGGCCTGCAAAGCCATAAATTTGGTCTTTGAAAGTCAGCAAGTTTCTGAAAAGGCCTTAGCAAAACAGACCAAGCTCAAGACCAAGGAGAATGTCAGCTAATGTCTGTGTGCTCCATGCTTCATGCTCTAGTTCTGAAGACTCAAATCCAGAAATCAAAAAGTTAGCATTTTAAAAGGCTATTGCTCTTCAGAGCATTTGCTACCGAATTGAACGAAGGTGGCAGCCAACCAAAACTACAGGTAGTGTCCAACAGAGAGAAATAGCTCAGAAAGTTGGTTCCAACTTTTAAAATGTGGTCACATTAGTTTGACAACATGAAAACTTTCATGTAAATATTTGTAGCCATTTTGTAAATAAGTATTGAGTTTTATGGAAAAGGCATGAGATCCATGAATCAGACTCTCTCTATTCTGTCTGTCACTAGCTGTGTGCCTTTAGACCAGTCACTTGACTTTTCTAGGCTTCAGTTTCTTCACTAGAGAAACATAAAATTTGGATTATGTAATTTTTGAGGTCTTCTCAAGTTATAAAAATAGAAAAACAAATTCTTATTCTGTGTTCATTCTTATTTTTCCTGAGGGAAATAAGCATTGAGAAATGAAGGATCTTATTTAACATCACCCAATAATTTAGTGAGGCAATACGAATTAAACAGATGTTAAATCTCCAGCGCCTCACCACCCTTCTTACAGCATTAATCACACACACCCTTGTGCATGAGCTCACATTCGTCCTGTGGCTCACTTAGCACAGCTCTGACAGAATTGGTGCCCTCTGAAACGTGCACTTACCTTTTCAGGCTCACTTTGCCATGAAACATCAGGGCCTCCTTGCCCAGCTCATAGTTCCCCTAAGAATCTGACTGCTGGGTGTAGGGAATCCTTCACAGAGTGCATTGTCTGGACCGGCAATTTTGGCTGCTAGAAATGAAGTCTATTTTTCTAAACATTTTCAAATTATTTACAGATATGCTGGTGACTTTGCATACATGAAGAGACATGCCCAATCTGTGTGACAGAGCACAGCCCGCTGCCTGCTGGGCATTTTCTTTCCCTGCCTCCTTGTTTCTGTCCTCATTTCACTCAGGATCGTGGCTCGCAAACTGTGTACTTCTATGGATACCACTTAATGTTTTTGCATCTCCTTTTCTTTGTCTTAAAAGTAAAGATACTATTAACATAGTGGGTAGGTCCTTGCCAGGAATTACTATTCCATGGTTCTAAACCAGATCCCTTCCAGGCTCAAATGAAGGAACACTGGTAGGTCAGGCACACTATGCCCTCTTGATGGGCACAATTTAAAAATACATGTTAATGCCATACATAGTCTGTGAATCTGTCCTCCCAGGTGGTAAGCCAGCCAGTGCTTCATTTGTGGTGAAGTCATACAAAGTTAATACTATTCACTTATTAACTTGATAAGATGCTGATCCAGGGATCATCAAGTGAGAGGAAGTTTGGTTTGTAGAGGTCACCAGGACAAGTGCCCCAAGTGTGCCCTCAGCTGCATATCTGACCCACAGCGGGCTCTGCCCTACCTTCCCGCTCTGTGAAGCCTGCCTTCTCCATAGCAGTCACCAGTACCCCTTCCTAAGGGGCCTGCAGGACACATTCCTGGTAATATCAAACCCTTGGCTGGCACTGATGACATGCCAGGCACCCCTTGGAGACCTTTGCATTTTTAAACTCATTTAATCCCTATAATAACCCTGTGAGCTAAATCCCATCATTAGTCCCACTTTTCAGATAATGACCCTGAGACGAAAAGAGAGTGAAGTAACTTGCCCGGCCAGGGTTGGGTAGAGCGAGAATGAACCCAGGCTGCAGCTCCTGGTCCCCAGCATTCTGCACTCCCCCACCCTCCCCATGGAAATAACTCCCTCTGCCCCGGCCGCCTTCTACTTGGCTTGAGGGTATTGCATGTGCACATCTTATCTCCACCACTCCTTAGTCTGCAGTCATCGCTGTCCTTTCCAGACCCCCAGACCCCTCAAAAGTGGATTGAATGAATGATCCCGACTCAAGTCTGTGCATTTCCCATCAGGCCACAGGCACATCTGTCCATTGTGCCCTGTGTTCATGTGCCTCCTTCATCCCATTCCTAGGACTTGTGAGCTGCTCACAAGGTGTGCCTGTATCTTCACCGCTTAGCCGGCCCTGGGGCACAGTAGGTTTCAATCAATGTCTGCTGAGTTGAATGTTTGCCCCCATCTCACTCAGGGGCCTTCAAGGGGCTGTTAATAAGCTGGTGCTAGATTGAGGAGAGAGCAGGACACTGAAAAGAGGACGGTGGGGACTCTTAGAGACAAGCCTGGTCTTAACCAGTGCTCTGAAAATACAGGATTGGCTTCTCCTTGCCTAGCAAGACCAGCGATGGGCAGAAACCTGGTCCCCCTTTTCATCTGCTCAGGTGGCCAGTGTCACAGCTATCCTCACTTCCCCAGGGATACAAAGAGATACTCGTTTAAGGAAATGCCCCTCTGTGGAACTCGTTCAGTTTTCCTGGTTGCTCCCTTAGGGCTCCAAGGGCCCTTCCATTTCTGTCGTCATCCCCCATTAGGAACAAAAAAGTATTTTCCTTCTTGAACGGTGGTTGTAGCCTCTCCCCTTTCTCCTGTGCTCAGAGGTGTAGAAACTCTAAATCCAGCACAGCGTGTTTGGGGGGAGGTGAAGAAGCAGAACGGAGGAAGGGCATCTTCCAAGGAGACGGTCTTAGGGTCAGTTGAGGGCCCTGACACTGTGACAGCATCTCATGCTGGAGCTCATCTGTAAAACAGATGCAGGGGAACCACTGTGTGAAGCTGCCTTTGTCCCTGGGAGTGCAGTTTGAGAGCCACGGATCTTGCCCACCCCCTTGCTTCCTCGATGGTTCCCAGGAGAGGGGGTGTGCGCTGGGGACAGATACCAGCTGTCCTGCCTTCTGGGCCATATCCTTTTCACCTCTTTGGCCACAATCAAACTGACTAAAGGCTTTCTACCCTTGGGTGAAGTCAACAGAGTGGATTGACACGTTGTCCTGAGACGCTAAGACTAGGGGCATTTCTAAGAGGAACTGTTCTCTCAGGAACTCTGAATTCCTGTGTGGTTTACCAGTGGATTAACCACAGGGCTCTGCTTCCACCTCAGGCATGTCATTCTCTTGTTTCTGTACCTCTAGCCCTTTAGCAAACTCCTCATTTTCATTCATCTTGTGCTCATCTGAGCAACATCAGCTGGCCACCCCCAAATAGACCAAAGCAAGGTGGGACATTTTTGAAGAGTCAAAAGGCAGATCTTACTGCCACATGGCCTTCAGCCAGTGGTCCAACAGAAACTGCATTTTTCAAGCCAGAGAATGGTTTGACAAACCACTGATTTGATAAACATGAAAGTGTGAATTGGACAGATTTATGAAATCAGGACTAGAAAGTCCAGAATGTATGAAGATGTAACTGGCTTTAGGCTGTGGATTTTTTTTTTTTTTTTTTTTGAGAAATTGCCAGTCTCAGTAGGCTGTGGAATATTAAGTCCTCCCATACCACATAGAGACATTTGTCTTGAAGAGGTAAGAGCCCTGCTTCCTCTCTTCCCCTCCTCCTCATTTCCTCTCCAAACCTATCCCAAAGTCAAGTGTATATGCATCATTGTCCCACTCTTGGCACATGCAGAGGCTGCCCATCCTGGACTTTGATCCTTCAAAAGAGCTCTCAGAGTACATTTCAACCAAATGCCACCCTGATGTGTGTTGCGTGGAAGATGGGAACACATCAGCCAATCACCCCTTGCTTAGTCCCACTCTGGAGGTTTTTAACTCCCACGGAAGGGCCCTGGCTCCATTCAGGCTGCTGTAGGCAATGCAATGAGGGATGATGAGGAGGAGGAGGAGGAAGAGAGGAGGATTGTTGGTGTGCATTGGGCCTATTCTAACCCTCTACATGCATTGAGTCATTCAATCCTCGCACTACGAGGCAGGCAGAGGAGATACAGCACCATGCTTCAATATAGCACTCAATAGGCAGGCAGTGGAGCTCTAATTAAGTGTGAGTTTTCCACCCTTCTCCATCTATATACCCATTTTTCTTATTTGTTTATTTGGTTTTTGCTTTCTGAGATGGTCTTGGCCAAGAAACCAAGGGGTGGCTAAGTTCACACCAGTCACAACTTGGCTTCTTGTTCTCTGGGATGTGCTCTGAGAGGCCTAAACAGAGTCATAAAATGTCAGTCATATGAACTATTATCTCACAGGTGAAAGGTCTGGATTTTTACTGCCCTCCCAGAGAGCCGTCCATCCACCTCCGGAAGTGGCAGGAGAGAGATTGCACATTGCCCTCGCAGACACCTACTTGAGTGCCGCACAAGGGTAGTGGTCTGCCTAGTAAACCAGTTCTCCCTTCCACAGCGAAAAGTTCCGATTTAGCAGTTGCCAGTTTTGGTGGTGCAAATACTCTAACCATGGCCAATTTCAAGCTGTCACTAGCAAAATTTCTAAATTTTTAACAGTTGTCCTCACAAGTGGCCCCACCAGCTCCAGTGTGCTGCTGCCTGGAGGACTGTCCCCGGACACTCACTAAGAGCAAACAGGCAGTACTCCATTCCTCCAGGCAAGAGGTGACAGCTGTCTTCTTATTTGCCGTGGACTCAAGCCAGTTGACAATGTGCAGAATTAAAGCGTGATTAAGGCCCAGTAGGGTTGTCAGCTTCAGCAAATAAAAATACAAGATACCCAGTTAAATTGGAATTTCAGATAGATAGCAACTATTCTATAAGTATGTCCCAAATATTGTGTGGGATATAGTTATACTAAAATAGCTATTTTTTTAAATCTGAAATTTGGATTTAGATGGGCAGGTGAGATGGAACAGGTTTTGTATTTTATCCTGCAACCCTATCTCCTCAGACACATGAGCGCTCAGAAAATTCTCGTGAACTAATGGTCAGGTTGAGAGTGTGATGACAGACTGGGAGCTGGACATGTGTGTCTTGACTGTCCACTGCTTAAACCTAGATGAGTCACGGTGACACTTCCTGCTTCAGCTTTCCCTAGATCCAGGGACTCTGAAAGTTCAAAAGCACCCCAAGGCTTAACACCTTGCATTTGTAAACAAGAAACTGAGACACAGATAGGTGACTTGTTCAAGATCACTTAACTTGTAGCAGCAATGAGACTAAAAGTTCTGATTCACAACCCAGTGGGACTTTTTCCCTTTTATCCTATACACTCTCATTTGAGAGTTAGTTTGGTTTTATGGTTAAGAATAGACTGTAGTCAGACTGCCTGGGTTCAAATTCTGGCTCTGACATATGCTAGTTATGTGATCTTGGACCTTTTCTCTTTTGGCCCCACCTTCTCATCTTTAAAGTGGAGATTAAATGAGCTAATAGTATATGCAAAGTACTCAGAACAGTGCCTGGTGCATAGTGAGCACTCAATAAATTGATGCTTGCCCTGCAAACATCTCTGTAGAAAAATCTTGTCCTTGTTTCCCTGCAGCACTTCAAATCTGCATCCATGACACTGGGGGTTCTGAACTCCAGGCCTGGGTGCTCATATTGCTGGTTCTGTTGTGCCTTTTGCTGCCTGCCTCACTGTCCCTGGCAGTCCATTCCCCTACTCCTTCACTGGGTGTCATAATCACCTATAAAGCAGGAATCAGCTCCCCTGCCCTCACCTCCTGTCGGGCAAAGGTCAAAGGATTCACTGCATTTAAAAGTCTGCACAGAAGAGCCTGCTAATAGCACTGGGACCCTATCCCTTACATTAAACCATAATTACACCCTGCCCTAGCCAGACTGGAAAGTCCTGGAAGGCACTGATGGTGCCATGAACTTTCTTTCTTCCCCTCCTGGGAAGGCAGTAGGGATGGTGGAGACAGAATGAGCCTGGGTGGCAGAGATTGGAGATAGCAAGCTCTGGAGTCAGGCTACCTGGGCTCAAATCTGGAGCTCACCACTTACTAGCTGTGGCTCAATGTCTCTGGGCTGCACTTGCCTTAAAGTGGTCCTGATAGTACCTCACTGCAGAGGGCTTGTGTGGGGTGTGAAGGAGCCAGCACACACTGATGACACATCAGTGGGACCTTGGGCAAATCCATCTCCACATGCCTCAGAGTCTCCATCTATAAAATGGGGACAGAAATCCCTTCCTCCTTGGATAATGGTGAAAATAAGACAAACTTTGGAAAGCTCCTGGCACCAAGTAGATACCCAGTAAGCTCTCTTGACAGTGGAGCATCCTTATCATTTCATGCCACTTGCTTGGCCAACTTCTGTCAACATTTACTTCCCCCTGGTAACCAGCATGGGAAATGAGATGAAAGCCCAATTAGCTGCAACAGCAGAAATGGGCTTAGAATCCAATTGTTGTTTATTCCTCCCTAACATACCTGCATCATTTAGCACTTGAGCCCCGTGAGCTTGCCTCGTTTTGTCTGAGTTAGAAATGGTCTCATTTGGGATGAAGGTTGTTTTTGTTTCATTTTGCTTTATAAACAGAAACACTCCCTGATTTCTCTTCTGAAAGGCTGAGGAGGAAGCTGAGTCAGGTGGGGTGCGGTTGACATGAAATCGGTCACCCTTCCCTCGCCGTGGGTTTGTCTTACCCAATTGCTACACACTGACTTGCACATCAGTCACGTTTGGTGTCCCATTTTATGCTCATTTCTCTACTGACATGAAAACACAACAGTATTCTTTTGGAATGCAGTAAGGCGTAGTGGAAAGAGCAAGGCTTTGAGAGTCCTGGGTTGGAATTCCAGCCCCACTGCTTGGTAACTGAGATGAAGACTGGGCAAGTTGGGAAATGGTGGGGCGAGGCTATCAGCCATCAAGTGGTGGTGGTGCCTGTCCTGTAGGATTACAGCGAAGTTTAGAGTTCATGGACATAATGCTAGTGGAAAAGCACAGTGGAATTGAACGTATCCCGATGACGCCACATTCTTTTCCCTTTCAGGATGATCTCCCAGGCCCTGGGTTCTACAATGTCATTCACCAGTCTCCAGTGTCCAACAGTGTCTCATTGTCCAAGAAAGGAACGTGCACTTTCCCCTCTATGGTGAGAGCCACTTCTCTTGAGTAGGGGTGTTAGCTGGTCAGTGATTTCTTTCATTCATCACAGTCATATATTGGACAGCTGGTCCCTTTTCTCCAAAGTCCTGTGGTTCTAATTAGGAGAGGAAACACCTCCTCAAATTTCTCAGGTAAATTGGACCCTGTGTCTTTAAGTCATTTTTTCCTTACTGTCATCCATGGCCATAGTGTGAAGAGAAGCCAGAGGAACATTCAGAACCTGATCGTCCAAAACCAATTTTGTCATCAATGAGTAGCTTAAGCAAGTGTTTTCTTGAGATTTTTAGGCATACCAGGAAACTGGTACTCTTATACATCTTGCCCTAATGTGAGTTGTACACTGCTTAAATCTGATTGGGTTGTAAAACTATTAAATCTGGTGGAACCCAAAAGAAAGCAGACAATGGGCCTGAAATTTAGTGGTTTTCTATCCCATTCCTCTTCTTTGTAAGATGTAGGGCTTTATCTTTGTCAAGGGCTCTAACAATCAAATAGCTACATGAAGTGCCAATGACTCTGACCAGTCTTGGGCAAGGATAGTTTCTTCCTCCTTTTTTCTTCCTGCCTGCCTTCCTTCTTCCTTTCCTTTCCTCATAGTCTGTTTCTTAAAAATATTTATAAACTGTCAAGAAAAACAGATACAGCAACAAGAATAGTTATAGCAAAATAGATGAATTGCCAAGAAAAATAGAGTCAAATTTGGGTAAGGCTAACTAAGCTAGAAAAATAAAGAAGAATGCAAACCCAGACTCCAACATTAACAAAACACACATGCCTTCTCGTCCCTTTCAAAGTTATTACAATCACTTGCATAGATGTATTATAATGCCTGACATTGGAATTGATTTTTTTTTTTAAACCACACAAAGGGACCATTTTAGACACACTGAATGCAGCCACTTATTGGAATGTGAGTTTGGCAGAGTTGGGTACTCAGGGAGCAAACCACCCTTGGAGTTAACTCCCCATGACCAAAGAAGTTGGAGTTGCACATGCCCTCAATGAATTCATAGAACAGCCACGCCTCTACCTATTTTTCTGCCACAAGCCGGGCTAGGAAGGACTCAAAAGCAATTGGAAAAAGAAATGTCTCTCCAAAGTCTTGGCACAGGAGACAAGACTTAAGACTTAATCCTGACTCAGCTGTGGATTCTTGATGTGACCTCAAGCACGTCACCCTTCTGGGTCCTAGTTGCCTCATGAAAGTAGAGACTCCCTGGAGGCACTGGGCAAATTAACATTGTAATGAGTGAAATGCTCTTTGAAACAGCAAAGCATTATAAACATGCTAAATATTATGATTGTTACCACCTGAGTCACAAACAATACTTCCTGCAACATCTAGATTTTCTCTCCGAGAACTTCTTTGCCAAATAGTGGCACTGCCCATTCCTGGTGCACTGCCCATTTCTGGGGCACCATTCCTCTTGGTGCCAAAAAAGGGACTGAATCAGAGCACATGAACGATTCCCGACCAGGCTCTCCATGCAGTAACTTTCCAGATGACAAGGCTGGGCTGTCAGGAGGTGGCCCAGATGAAGATCTGCGTTTTGTAGAGTCTAATCATGCCTTTTAGATCATTAAAAACATTCAGAACCAAGCCCAAAAGAGGGCAGACATTGGGTTGTTCAGGCTTTCTCCTCTCCTCCCTTTGACAAATGTGGGAATTTGTATTTATGTTTCTGTTACGTGTAAGTGTAAACACTTAAATGCCTGTGTCTATGGGTGGGAGCCTTAACTGGTTCATGGAGACCTGCCAGGACATCCCCACATCTTACCTAGTCCCTATATGAACTGGATGAGAATTTCCTATCTTCACCCTTCTTTTAGTGACTTTCATATTATTAATAGCACCTCCTCTACTTCTGGATCCCAAGACTCTGAGGGAATTAAAAGTAGCTATCATCAGAAAAAGATCAGAATGACCAGGAAGAGTGTGATTATGGGTGAGGCTGACCAAAAATTTCTGTGGGCCTATAAATTTTAGAAACTTCCTGATAACTGTTGCAACAATTACACCCAACCTTTTGAGAGGACCTGTCATGTCTCTAAGTCCGAATGATATAAAGAGTTGTATTAACATATTTCAAATCTTTGCTCCAGAGTTTTCCACAGGACTGACTAGGAAGTGAAATGAGGCAGGTGGGTGGAGACTTTGAGGGCCCTTCTGTTTTGCATGGTGGTGGGAGGGGTTCTGGAAAAGTTAGTATGTGCTGGAGAGAGGTTTGTAAATGCTAGTGTATGGCCAGATTGGAGACCACAGGCCTGGCAAGGAAACCAAGGGGTGTGTAATGTTGATGAGTGAGTGTTACTTCAACTATACTCTGAGACTAATTCTATTATTATAATACATTATAAAATTTTGCCCCTACTGGGAATTTTTTTAGAACAGTTTTTTTTTCCCAAAATATATATTAATAGGTGTTCTAAACCAGAAAAGAGTCTATGATCAAATAAGCTTGCTATTACTCTGAGGCCATGCCTCTGAACCCATTCCTCTTTAGAATGGGATATGTAATCCATATCACAGAGTGGAGGCAGACTGCCTGGGTGAGAATGTTGGTCCTACCACTTAATTAGCTGAGGAAGTTCGGTTTTCTCATCTGTAAAGTGGGGATAATCATAATATCCACTACTCAGGGTTGTTATGAGGATTACACACAACCACCCATGAAAAGAACTAGGTAAATGTAACTATTAGCCAGAATGCAAAGGCAAAGTATGTTCAAGGCTGGGGCAGCCTTACTTCTGGGAGCATCAACAATCTTTACAATTAGAAGGAGGCAGAGCTGGGACTTGAACCCAGGTTAGGCTCTGAACAATTCAGGTTCTGGACGAGAGCACTTCTGCTTCTGGCGGAGCACTCACTCACATCCCCCTGGTGGTCCATAAACCAGGTGTTGAGGACCATGACCATCAAGCACAGAGGGAAGTGGGGGCCCCAATGCCTTCCCCTCTCTATGCTTGCATAGTTATTGACCGCTATCAAGCAGAGAAAACCCAGGGCGATGTTCTCAAGCTTTCGACTATTAAATAAGGAGAATTTTTTTGCTTGATCAGGCTCCAATACTTGCTATGCTATCTGAGGGGTAAAGTGATGTTATCACCAAGTTTCTATGGCTTTTGTCCCTGTTCATTTGACAAACATTTATTCTGTTTGTTTTTTCAACTGAAAATAGTTTATCAGAGCTTCCTGATAGGAGTGGAATTGGTGCTGTTAAACAGCAGAAGTATTGCAGGGTTTATGAAGACAGTAGTTTGGTGGGGGTGGAGGCACATGGATAGTGCCCCATGGAGCCTCATACCCTTAAGCTGTTTGAAGCAGAAGCATGGTTTAGGCATTTCAGATCCTTTAGCCTTAGAAACAAGATGTGAGATTTCACTCAGAAGGAAAGCCTAGGATAGGGGAAGAGAGTCTAAAACTTCCCATCGGATAAATTACCCAACAGCTGATGAGTCAAGTGTAAGTGGCCTGGAACAGGATTGGGTGGAAATGCATTTATGGCAAAATTATTTTTGCCAAATCCCAAACAGAAGATGAATAATTTGAGTTAGTTTACAGAAGTTAGTACAGGTTTGAACTTGCATTTTCCAAGGGCGAATCCTCAAAGCCTGAGGTCGGTTTATCACTGTTACCTGCCAGTTTCACCTTTTAGAAAATACTTTTAGAGCCAGTGCTGGGCACCATCTTTTTCATATCTGTCCTTGGGAGCTGCAGGATTGTGGGACAGTGCTGATTCCTTGGGCTTTCTCCTCACAGTGCACGCGATTGGATGCCAGAGCTTCTAAATATCCTGCAGCTAACGCATACACTATCCCATCAGACTTTATTTCGAAGAAAGACTTCAGTAATTCCTGTTCCAGTATGTTCCAGCAGCCAAGCTTCGCAAAAATTCTCAAATCTGAAACTCCTGCACCAAACTATTACAATGTAAGAACACCGCATATGCTTGCTAAATATAAGTCGAATGGATGGCTTACTGAAATAAAAGGAAGGGGGCAGCTTGAGGAAATAGCGTTTTAATGCAGTTGGCAAGCCAGTTAGCATTTGTTGACTACACAACGGGTGTATAAGGCTGTGTGAGACTCTCGTAGGGAATTTGCAGATGCCAGAGAGAAGCAAGAGCAGCATGGAGGCCAGTATGAGGCTGTGGGAAGACCACTGCCCTGAGAAATACTTATTCTAACCACTCTTGTCATACAACCTTCTTGGGACACAGTTTTCTCATCTGTAACAATGGGTATATTATTTACTACTTTATCTGCAGACACTATTCCTTTACTTTTCAGGTCCTTCTAGGGAAAATAAACTTCTATCCTTCCATATCAGAAAATTGGTTTTTTAACAGTAGTGCTTTGCTAATTAGATCACTTTGTATTTGCTGAGGCAGAATGATATGGGCAGATTAAGAGACAGAACGGTTAAGAGACAGATTCAGAAAGGTTTGGTTCAGCTTTTGACTCTGCCACTTTCTAACCATATGGCCTTGGGCAAGTCCCTTGGCCTTTTCAGGACTTAGTTTATTGATCTGTAAAATGGGGCTATATGTCTACCTCGTAGTGTTAATGCAGACATTAAATGAGATAATCTATGCCGAGTGCTCAGCACAGCACTTGGCAAACAGGATGACACAAAACATGGGGATTGGTAGGGCTATCTTTGGACAAGTTATATTACCTCCTGAGCCGCAGCTGTAAAATGGAATTGATTATATTTCCCCTACAGGGTTATAGGAAACAAGTGAGACACACATGTGAAAGCACTCTGAAATGCATAAGATATGAATTATATTTAAGATATTAATGTTATCATGCCATATTTCAAACTATTTTGGTCTTAGAATACTTCATTTTTAATTTCTCTTTTCTCATATAATATTTATAAATAATATTTATTGTTCTGACTACAAAGATCCTGCCCACCTCCTGTGATTGATTCAATTAGTTATTGTGTGCTCAAAGTGACATAATGCCTGCTAGGCCAGTACTGTCCGATAGAGATATAATGGGAGCCACCCATGTCATTTAAAATTTCCTAGTAGTCACATTTAAAGAAAAAGGAACAGGTGAAATTAATTTCAATAATGTATTTTTGTTTAACCCAGTAGATCCAAAATATTATCATTTCAACATCTAATCAGTATAAAAATTATTAATTAGATATTTTAGGAAGATTGTTTTCTCATACTGAGTCTTTAAAATCCAGGGTATATTTTATGCATACATCACATCTTGCTTTGGACCAACCACATTTCCAGAGTCAATAGCCACACGCGCCCGTGGCTGGTGTAGTGAGCAGCACGGCCTCTGCGGTCTTCCCCTGGGACAGGCAGGGCTGGAAAACAGTGACAATGGCGATGAGGATGGTGAAGCGCTTCATGTCTGAGTGCTGGCCTAAGAGTTATATGTTCATCACATTTAATACTCGCAAGTGAATCCATGAAGTGGATTACCTTATTCCCAATTTATAGAAGAGGAAGCCAAGGCTCAGAGAAGCGAAAGGATTTGCCCAAAGTTACCTAGATTGAGGGCATCACTTGCGCATAAGTGGGCATGGGTAGGTGGCTGAGACGGAAAGCCAGGGAATGATCGAAGTCACCCTGTTCTGGTCCTGCCAGGCTTCCCATCATGGGTCCTGGTGCTACTTGATGCCAGGCTGGTGAGATGGCTTAGACTCCAGTGGGGAACTCAGAAAAGAATGAGTAAACAGACAAACAAAATAATTACAAACTGTGGTCAGCCTCGAGGGAGACAAACAGCTGGAGCCTGAGAGAAAACATGTGGGGGTCCAAGGGGTTGGCAGTACCCTGTACTTTAGATTTGGTGGGAAAAGAGAGTTCTGAGGCTCAGACCCAAGGATTGAAGGAAGTGCCAGAGTTGGGGTAGCAGTGCAGAGGTCCTGGGGCAGCGTAGAGCTTAGCCCATGAGGATCTAAAGAAGGTCGAATGACTAGTGTAGTATGAGCTAGGAGTGGGGGGAGTGGGCCACATAGATAGGCAGTTTGTGCAGCAGGATTCTAAAGACCCCAGGAGGAAGTTGGAATTTTGTTCTCTGTGTTCTGGGAAGCCCATGAGGGGGTGGGAGGTTTGGGCTGGCATTCTCTGATGTAATTTTTTTTTTTTTTTGAGACAGAGTCTTGCTTTGTTGCCCAGGCTAGAGTGAGTGCCTTGGCGTCAGCCTAGCTCACAGCAACCTCAGACTCCTGGGCTCAAGCAATCCTGCTGCCTCAGCCTCCCGAGTAGCTGGGACTACAGGCATGCGCCACCATGCCCAGCTAATTTTTTCTGTATTTATTAGTTGGCCAATTAATTTTCTTTCTATTTATAGTAGAGACGGGGTCTTACTCTTGCTCAGGCTGGTTTCGAACTCCTAACCTCGAGCAATCCGCCTGCCTCGGCCTCCCAAATGCTAGGATTACAGGTGTGAGCCACTGCGCCAGGCCTGATGTAATTTTTTAAACAGCTCCCACCAGCTGCTGTATGGAGAATTGACTGCAGTATGGGTTAAGAGTGGTTTCCTAGAAAACCAGGGAGGAGACTGTTGCACTAACAGGAGAGACAACAAGGTGTGGGTGGAGAAAGGGATAATGAAGGTGGTTGGCCGTTGCCCCTTTGCCATTCTTGAGAGAGGACCAGGTTACTTGGGCCGAAACACAGGTGCTGCCTCTGTCTGCATGGACACCCCTCTCTACATCCTCTTGGTGTAGCCGAAGGGTGCCGCATTAGGGTTTCATGTGTTGGCTTCCCCAACCCACTGCACAGGTCCTGGTATGCAGTAAGCATGTAATAAATGTTTATGGCATCAAAGGAATAACTCCCCAGTAGTACACAGTTATTAACCTAGAAATTACCATTTCCCCAGTTGGAATTTTGTCTGTCAATAGATCAATTTTAGGTGCAATTTTTTTGTTCATTATTGTTTTAGTATGACTCCAAAAATGGTACATGCTCATCATAAAATATATTCAAGCACTATAGAAATCCATGAACTAGAAAGGAGAAGTCCCTTACAATTCTAATACCCAAAGCAAACCACCACCAAAAACTGGGAGCAATTTCTTTCATATTCCCTCCTTCCCTCCATCCCTCCACTAGAATTAGGATTATGCTGTGCCTGGTACACCTTGCATTGCCTTCTTAACTATATCTAGGATTTCTTTCCATGGCAATACAATAAATCTGCTTCTTTCTTTTTTAACCTGCTAAATATTTTCCTCATCTAATGGTGAAATCTTCCAGTGACACACACTCAGTGTATACAAAAATGCTCCCTCTCTCAGTTGCTTTTCTGTCTGGGTGAAGAATAAAGCCGAAGTACTGTTTTGTCTACAGGAGGCTTTTTTTTTCAGACCAGGAGAACAATGGTTGAGTCAACTAGCAAGGAGTAGAAATGCGATAATCCTGTTAGCCACACTGCTTTGGGATCTCTCCAGGCCTTTCTCTGCCTTTGCTACCACGATCCTCCACTTCTATATTCGAATCCTTTTCCTTGGTACTGTGTTATTACCTTCTCTCTGGCAACTTGGCTCCTCTCCCCATGCCCAGTAATTAACCTGTCCCATCTGGTCCCTTTGTTTGCCCTCTCTGCATGCGGTCTAGCCATTAGGACCCTGGGAAAAGCTAAATTCCTCCACCTTTGTAAACACAAAATCAAAATACCATCTGCATTTCTCAAGAAACTTTTTTTTGACAAAGGAGTATCACAGAAAATCAAACCATCCTGGCCCCAGCAAATAGTTTTACTCATTCAGTAAATATTCCCAGCGATCACAGGTACAATTTGTATTGCCTCTGTTATCCAATGAATACAGGAAACTGAAAATTGGCATTTAAAATATTTGTGATTCATGTGTAATAGAAGAATGGTCTCAGAGTTTTTTTTTTTTTTTCTATTATTTTTAGAGTTCCAAACACATTGGGCACTCTCAAATGTATGTTGCGTGGATAGGCTAAAATTCTTAATTTCCGGTCAGTCCCCAAATGTTGAGACAAGGGAGTGCTTACAAATCTGATCACAATCTTTAATAATTTGATTCTCTTGTGTGCCTCAAATACTGTGCTTATAGAAAGACTGGACAGTGAGGATTGTACCTAGGGATCGGGATGGGGATAGGTAGGACTAAGTGTCCTACAGAGAATAAGAATAGTAGAAAAAATAATGAAAATAAGGTGCATATGTAGCATTACACAATTTAAAAAAAGACACTTTCCTACAGATGATCTCTGTTGGCCACCCCCGTCCCCAGCAATGGTCTGTGACAAGTGGAGATCCATTTTACAGATGAGAAAACAACTAGTGCAGGGCCTGTCCTCAGCAGAAGTGAGCCTGGGTCTGCAAGGCTGGCTCCTTTGGGCACTGGCCTTGTTGGGTCACCAGACTTTTGCTGGGGAATCACAAATCGTGGAACACTCAAGCTGGAATGACAGTGAAGGCACAATGTGACCTTTTTGGCTCATGTCAGCTCATTTTCTAAGAAGGGCAGGTTTCAGTCTGATTTTTTACCCAGATTTGCCACTTGCCCAGGCATGATGACAAAGACAAAGAAAGGGAAGGCACTGAGCACATTGGGCGTATTTTCTTCCTCCAGGCCTCTATCTCTTGCTGCACGCAGAGAAACAACGTCTCTGCTCGAGCTGGATTTATGTCAAAAACCCAAAGAGGATTTTTCACTGTTCCTGAAAAAGGACCTGCCCCAGGTAAGCAGCTGTCTTGCCCTAGCCTTCACCTGAGGTCAGTGTCCCAGATGTGATTTGCAAGGCATCCATTTCTTCACAGGGTGTTTCTTTGGAAGGAGTTAGGCTTGGGGTGGGGGACACAGGAGCAGGAGACAGGTACTGAGCAAAGAGGAGAAGGTGGAAAGACCAGCTCTCCCCCTCCAGGGAACAACAGCTGGCTCTAGACAGGGCCCCAAGCAGCCTTCTTGGCCTCCCCTTTCACAGCCATGCATACCTACTCTGGGCAGCCAGGTGGGGACATGGCTTCTCACCTCAGAAGTGTGCAAATTCACATACCCCAGGTGCCATCACAGGCCACTGATGGGAAGGGAGATGGAGGGTATGACAATCCATCCTGCTCCTTTGACACCCAGCTACTGTCTCCCTTTTCTCCTAGACCTAGAAGTGACTTCATCTGATCATAAAACTGGGGAGAGTAGCTCCGTTCACAGAACCCCACTCCATGCTAAGTGTTTTCTATGCAGTCTCACAGGTCCATACATTTAGCCCTGGTTTTCAGATGAGGAAAGGGAGACTCAGAGTTGCAATGGCTTGCCCAGTGTGTCACAGCCAGACACACTGGCAGACCTGAGCCCAGAGGAGCCCATTTCCCCATTGTTCCATTGTGCTTTCTGGAACCTCCAGGATTCGGGAGTACACAGGAGCGTGCCTGCCGGCCTTGGGGAGAGGTGTTATGCCTCTCCCGTTCTCTTAGACCTCCAATCCTGGAGCCCTCATTGTATTACATCATCTCCAATGGGTCCCCAACCACCACCGCCTCCAGCCTTGGGCTCCAGAGCCAAGAGGAGGAGTAGGGAAGGTTTGCTTCTGTAATCATGCCTCTTGGAGGGGGTGTGGATGAAATTGCAGTGCATGTCAGATTTCAGTAAATCCAGATTAAAGGTAAAACAATCAATCTGAAGCCGAATAACAAAAACAGCACTAATTAGGAGGCTCAGCCTCTGTTAAAGTTCCCCTGCCTTGCATCAGCCCGGGGGCAAAACCCCACCTTGTTTGTTTATACAGAAGAACAAAGCTGGCATCCCTGGGGTTTGGCCAGAGTGCCTGCCAGTGAGCCCTGGGATGTGGGCACCTCCACAGCCAGCCACATGTTCCTGCTCCCCCGACCCTGGGAGGATCCTGAGGGGGTCTCAGCCCCTTGTAACACAAGCAGGAGGGGCAAAGGTGGGTACTAGCATCTGTTATGCTCCTCCTGGGTGCTTTACATTCATGATCACATTGAATGCTCCAAAACCCCAGGAAGCATGTGCTCACTACACAGTCATGTGCTCAAAAAGTGTGAGTTATTGTCATTACTAGTTTATCCCCATTTTATAGACAAAAGTGATACATAAAGCAGGTGACTAGCCCAGGGCCCCACAGCTGGATTTGAACCCAGGCCCATCCATCTTGACACCTAGAGATGACCGCCATCCCTCTCGCACGGCCACCCCTGGGATTCCTGGCAGTTGGCTGTCTGGTGGTGGGAGCACAAATGCTTTTTATTGCTTGCTTTTGCTTTTCATTATTTTCCACATTTAGTGATTGCTTTAACCTGTTTTTAGTAGGAAAGTGTTGCTTTAACCTGTTTTTAGTAGGAAAGTGTTGCTTTAACCTGTTTTTAGTAGGAAATATATATATATATATATAAAAGAGAGAAACAGAAAGACATATATATATGAGAAACATAAAGATGAGAGATGTATACCAACATTGTATATGTTGCTGACATATCTGCTTTTTAAAAATTTAAGTAATATTGGGAATAGCATTTCATGCTGTTAAAAATCTTTCTAGAACATCATTTTAATAGATGTATAGTATTCCATTGTATGATGATACCATAATTAAGGAACAAATGCTCTGGTTGGAAATTTAGGTTGTTTTAAATTGATCACTATATGAATAGTGCAGTGATGAATATCCTTGTAGCTAACACTCTGAATACAGTCAAGACTATTTTCTTATATAAATTGCTTCAAGCAGAATTGCTAAGTCAAAAGGTATGTAAAATATTTAAGGTTGTTGATATTTGTAACCAAATTGCCCCTTAGCACAAGAATAATTTATCCTCTTCTTCTATGAGGTGACTATTTTCCTACCTTTGCCCCTCCTGCTTGTGTTACAAGGGGCTGAGACTCATTGGAGATTATCATTTCAGTAAAACTTGCTCATATGTATTTACTGTTGTTTTCAGTACTTTTGCAATGAAAAGTAAATTTTATTTAAAACAAAATCAACTTCACAAGGTTTCAAAAATGTGAAATCTTTTCCCCACTCAGAATGCCATCACTACTGTAATGGTTTCCACTTTTCTGGATTCCCATCTATTTTTCTTTGGATGTGTCCATTTGTACATAGAGGTCATCATAGTACATGTAGACTTTTAGGCTTTATTTTACTTTTTTTTACTCATATCTATTCTTTTTTTTTTTTGATTTAACTTAATTTTACTTATTTATTTATTTAGAGACTGAGTCTCAATCTGTTGCCCAGGCTAGAGTGCCGTGGCGTCAGCCTAGCTCACAGCAACTTCAAACTCCTGGGCTCAAGGGATCTTCCTGCCTCAGCCTCCCAAGTAGCTGGGTCTGCAGGCATATGCCACCATGCCCAGTTAATTTTTTCTATATATTTTAAGTTGTCCAGCTAGTTTCTTTTGATTTTTTATTAGGGATGGGGCCTCGCTCTTGCTCAGGCTGGTCTTGAACTCCTGAGCTCAAACAATCTGCCCACTTCAGCCTCCCAGAGTGCTAGGATTACAGGAGTGAGCCACTGCGCCCAGCCACTCATATCTATTTTAAAAAATATTTCCATGTGGCTCTACAATCTTCCTTTCCATTTACCATTGTCAGAACTGACATTCCATCAGATCAGGCTGCATTTCCCATAACTCTGCTTCTGAACTTGGACTTCAGGCTGTTTACACTTTCTCGCATTGCAGCTTCCTGTTGTGTACATCTTTGTGCTTAGAACCTTTTCATCCTGGTGAATAATTTCCCTAACTTCTGGGCAGTGGGAAGCCTGTGTCAGAGTGTGCAGACACCCTCAAGGCTTTGGCCTAGTATTGCCGTTTGTACTCCAACACCTGCGTCCCGTACAGGGCTCCTGACAGTTTAGGGTGAGACTGCTCCCTCCTCACTCCAGCTCGGGTCCTTGTCTTCTTCCTTGAAGCTTTGTGCACAGATTAATTTTACTTGGTCACAGTTTCTTGAGATGGGCGTGTAGCATGGTGGGAAAGCACAGGCTCTGGAGACAGGCTGACCAGTCTCCACACAGTAGGAGCTCAGTAAATATCTGTTGATTGCGTAACATGTACAAAGCAACCCCTGTGTGCCAGGAACTTAAGATATTATTCAACTATCATAGCAACCTTGTGGAAAGAATTATTATTCTTACTTTATAGAGGTGGAATCTGGGCTTTTGAAAGGTGGAGAGATTTGTCTAAGTCCTTGATCAGATGGCAAATTATTTACTGTCTCTGAGTCTCAGTTTCCTCTTGCTTAGAATGGAGGTGATAATTCCCATCCTTCCAGGCTACTTGGGGGCTGAATGAGCTAAGTCTGTGATGCACACAGCACGTGTTCTCTCAACGGTAGCGCTATTTGTTTCTTTCAGGCCGCCCTTCCCTTCGGCCATGTTGGAGCAATACTGCCTTATAGCTATCAAGTGTATTCTTAGGGGTAAGATACTGCTTTTTATTTATTTGAGATAAGTCCCTTATTCTGTTTTAAAATTTCTTTCTGCTTAGGGCATTATAATATTGATGATTCCTTTGTGAAGCAGTCACCAAAGATATTAATGTCTTGTTTTAAATCAAAAACCAACCGTGGATTAAAATTGATGTCAACAAGCCCAGGACCTGGTTATTACAATCCAACTGATGGCACCAAAGTTGAAAAAAAGACTCTTATCCCGTGAGTCCTGATTATTCTGATCTTTCTTTTGAAAGGTGGTTCCAGGAAGGGACCTCAATGTGGGTAGAAAAGGAAGGGGTGTCACTGCTTGGGAGGCACAGTACTGGGACACTCTCCAGGGGCCCTTGTTGACATATAATAGGTGCTCAATAAATACCTGTTGAAGGTGTGCCAGGAACTTAAAATCTTATTCTATTGTAATAATAATCATGTTGTAAGAATTATTATTCTTACTTCATAGATGAGGAAGCTGGGCTTCAGTGACGCTGATTTGCCTGAATCCACACAGATAATTTGAGGTGCTAAAGGGAATTAGCTCAGGACTGTCTGAATCTTTCCACATTCCCTACAATGCTGTCCTCTCCTGGTGGTGCTGTTCTATTTTTATAACATAAAATCTTCCACTGGGGTGGCGGGATATACAGAAGCAGTGAACCTCGCATAGTTTTGTACTGATGGAGTTTTAAGCCCAGACTTTGGTCAGACCTGCTAGATGTGTACTTCAACTCTGTTGTTTTCATGCTGTGTGACCTTGGGTGGAGTTCTAGCCTCTCTGAGCCTCCATGCCCTCATCCGTAAAGTGGGGATAATTTATGCCTCATAAGGTTGCTTTCAGAATTAAAAGTGTATGTTTGGCATATACTAGGTACAAATGTTGACTCAATGTTAACACAAATTTTAAAACTGAAGACAAGGATTTGTGTTACTATTTTTACTACCCTGCACATTTAATGTTACTTTCAGCTGAGAGGCTCAAAAACTCATAGGGCTTATTTATTCTTCAATAAATAAGCTAATTTATTCTTCAGTGGTTCCAGAATTTCTAAAACTAACCTTAGTTAAGCTCAGTTCCTCCTGCTACCCTCTAAGCTCCCAACCCTGCATAGCTTCTCCAGGCAGGGCTGGCCATTGGTGGGGGGAGGACTGACCAACAGGGCTTGGACTGAGCATAAAGCCACCTCAGTCCCTCCAGGGAGGTCAGGCAGGTGGCAGGGGCCATAGCCAGGGTGGGTCAGAAGTCCAGGCAACCCAGGGAGGCTGGCAGCACTGGATATGGTGCAACCATCAGCTAAGGACAAGAGGCCAGGGTTGGAGAGAGGAGCAAGTGTGAATCTGCCAAGTCAAACTTAGGATCTGGAGCAGGATTCAGACCTCAGGTGGAGTCCACCAGGTAAGTCCCTTCTGCCCTTCCGTACTTGGGCTCTGCAGGATGCTCTTTCCCAGGCTGCAGGGCCGAGGATGGAGGCAGGCCAGTCTCCAAGAACATCCTTTCTCCAAATGCCAGGGACTTCCTGCCTCCAGGGTGACTTGGGGCAACTCTACATGCAACCTTGTCCCTGCTCTGCCAGTGAAACAGACTGGTTAAGACAACAGGGGCTGGGGTTGGCAGACCTGAGCATGAATCCCAGCTCTGTCCCTTCCAGAGACTTCTCTGCTCTGAGCTTCAGTTTCTATGTTATTAAGTGGAGATAAGAATCTTATAGGAATTCTATGAGGTTTAAATGAGAAAGTAGTTGAAAATAGATATTACTCTTATGATTATTATAGCTGTTATTATTCTGTATCCTGTAGACATATTAGGATATAGGCTGTAACTGCCATAGTAGTTCAAACCTCCAGTGCAAATCTGGAAGCTTCCTCAAGGAAAATGACAAAATAAGATAGGAGAGTAGAGAACACCCAGTTTTTAACTGCTTTATCCATAGAAGTATCTTTCAGCTTTTGCTCAAGTTTGGCCAATAACTGAAATAATTCTCATTGTATGGTATTTGCATCTGTCATTCACAGGCTCTGTAGGTTTTTAGTTGTATGCTGGAGGCTGTAGGGGTGCCCAGGTGAGCAGGACACCAGACCTTCAACCTGAACAACTCCAGAGCAAGGCAGAGGAGCATGCAATGAAATGCTGAGTCATGTGGGTCCCAAGGTTGTGTGGCCACGCATATCCCAAGGGGCAGTCTTTCCAAGAGGGGCAGTGCCACAGTGGTGCATGTCTGGGGACATCAGGGGCTCACTAGCTCTCTGTTGATGCATCATGCATAAAAGATCTTTAGTTAATAAAGTCTGGGAAGCACTGCATAGTAACCCCCTGCCCTATGTGCATCACAGTGCACATAGTCATGTTAAAGGTTCTGAGGAGGCCTGCAGTAAAGGAAATGGTTAACTCAGTGCCTCCTAAACTTAGGTGTACCCAGATGAGTGAATGGTGCCCCAGAGTCTCCAGCAGGATGTTTGTATAACTGGCTCTGTGGTCTCGGGCTGCTCTCAGCCCCTCTCTGGGCCTTCATTTCTCCATGAGTGAAAGGAATGGGGGAGGGGAGAGGGCATCTTTCCATTTCTGACCCGCCATGACCCCAGGTTTGCTTGCTATGGCATTCAGGATCACACATGGGGGCAGTGACCGTGGAGCCAGCCTGGACCCATGGTGCAAATTATATATTTTAAACTTGACATGGAAAGGATGAAGCAGAGAAATCTGTAATTTCATTTAAAAAGTAAGGAGCTAACACTGGTGTACTTTGGACTCTTCTAAAAAAGCATCCATCTGTTTCTGTTGAATAATGTAGGGGGAAATGGTGTAATATAAAGAAAATACAGCTAGTATCGGAGCATTGAGGGAGTACCTGAACTCCAGTCTCTCTGATTCCAGCTCTGTTCACTCCCGTGTCCCTGCAGAGAAGAAGGGGACAGGAGCCACGCAGGGGCCCGTGTTCGATCCTGGAGAACATCTGCATTGTGTCTTCCCCATCTACATGTAACTGTCATGAGACTTGTCCACATCAGACCTAATCCTCTTTAGCTCCAGGGCTACGAGGAACAGTGATGGAGAATCTGAGCCTCGCCACTGCCTGTCTCTTTCCAAAACACACGCAGCCAGAGCCACCAGGCTTTGCACATGTGCCACATGATAGGAGACCTGCCCTCATGTGTCTTGGGTTGGAGTCGCTTGGCTCCCGTTCCTGGGCAGGGTGACAGCTTATACAGATAGTATTCTGGCTCTGCTTAGGACTTAGGAAGAATCAGGGCAGGTGTGAATTCTCCCTGGAGTTGTTGGTCCCGTGTTACTGACCAACACACGTGAAGCCCAGAGGTGAGAGAATGGGTGATGTGACCAAAGCACTCACGAGGCCACCCGTGGGTCAGCATCTCCTGTGCTTGTCGCATCTCCTGGAGAGGCCACAGAGGCAGCGCGGGTAGTGGGTTAACTAACACAGGCTCCAAGTCAGGCCACTGTGGAGCTTCCACCTTCCTGTGCGCCCCGTGCGCCTGGGGGAAGGGAGGCTCTTTAACTGAAATTCAGATTTGTCCTTGGTGAATCGGGATGACAACACCTCAAAATACGTTTGTAAGGGTACAAGGAGGTAACCCACATAACTCCCTAGCAACCTGTATTCTTATCAAAGCCTGTGAGCAGCTCCTCTGTTCACCGATGTTTCTTGAGTGCCCTGCGGGCGGCTGCTGCAGGGCAGGCCTGGCGTTAGCGCCGGCGTTTCTGAGCTCCTTGGCTGCAGAACACGTCACAGGGTGTTCCTTTGCTATGGCCACCTTGCTGACTCAAAAGCTAAGAGGATTTATCAGCTTCTAGGGTGTCTTTAGAAGCGAAGTGAAGTGTCAGCCAAGGTTTCACTTCTTGAGGTCTTCAATATTCGTCACTGTGGTGACTCAGTGAATTAGGGTGAGTCAGGGGAAGGGTTTTTGGAGATCAAAATAGTTCCTCCTAGTGCTGCCTTCCAACGCAGGCTCGCCACTCAGAGACATCTTCCTAACCCTTGGTCTACTTCCTGGAGTTTTTAAGCCACTGGATTTGCACAGACATGCTGTCCTGTCACACCAGAGCTGAAGACTCAAGCCCTGTTGGCCCTGCTCCAATTTGGGTAATTACGCTGGACCCACCTTAAGTTTCCCTGGGATTTTCAATTAGATATGGGATGCTTCTTCCCAAGCGGCTGTAATCTGTCACCGCTACCCTGTTAAATAGATACTGCATTCCACCCCAGAGGCAATCGGCTGCCCTTTAATGATGAGAAAAATTGCCCCTTTATCCCTCCCGACCCTGGGAATCCCTGAGGCAGAGTGAATCTGTGCCTGGGAGTGTCCCAAGGGTCTCGGATGCCTTCCCCAGGTGACCTGCTGAGTCCTCTAAGACATTCATTATTCTTGGGCGATTTGCAAACAGCTCACATTGGAAGCTGCAAACACACTTAATCCAGTTGTGGCCAACTCAGAGCCTTTGATAGATGTTTTCTTTCCACGGGGCAGGACCAGGTTGGCTTTTATAACTGAGCAATGAGGCTAATAAAAGGCCCGGTCACAATGCACTGTGGGCTGCCCTGGGTTTGATCTGGCCTGACATTTGTGATTCGCCAGCCCCACCTCTGCATGGAGGGACCTGCCCTGGGTGAGGATAAACTGTCGGGTGGGCCTCAGACGCCTAGGACCCCTTTCTTGCTTCAACTACTCTGCTTTTCTCTACAGTTAAGCAAATGTCCCCGGAATAGGGCTGGGGGCTACAAAGCTGAATAAAACATAATTCCCCCCTTAAAGAGCCAGGCAAGTAAAAACCATGGAGAACCTAATGTGTTAAGTGCAGGGAAAAGAAGAACAGCCAGCATGTACGAGGGGCCAGACACGCTGAGCTGAGAGCTCTCACAGAGACCATCTGGTGTCCTCCTTCCAACTCTCCCAGCCGTGGGTAGTTTGCAGTGAAGGGCAGACTGGCAGAAGTGGTGGAGCTGGGATTGGAATCCAGGTCCATCTACTTCCAAAACCCATGCTCCTCTCTCAAGCCACATACTGGGAACATATGAGGCAGTCAAGTGGGGGTGGCAGGGTGGGGGTGTGGGTGGGGAGAGAAGTTTCTCTGAAGGAGGTGGGAATGTGAATAATGAATCAGAGTTTGTAGGGGAAGTCAGTTTTCCTGATCTAGGGAACAGCACAGGTAAAGGCATGGAGTCACTGAACAGTGTTGGGTGTTTCTGGAAGGTAAAATGGGAGCAGGGGTGCAGAGGAGATGAAGCTGGACTGTGAGGCCGTAGTAGAGCTTTGCCTTTAACTCATCAGGGTCTGTAAGGGGGGTGGTTGGAACTAAGCGAACAACCCGGAAATCACGGGTGGGTGGAGGCTTGCAGGCAGTCTAGGTGGCTCAGCCTCTGTCTCCCTACGTCCTAATTCCTACCCTGGAGGCCACAGCTTTTCCTGATTCCATGCTTTTGCCCCGCCATTCCCTCTGCTGGAAATGCCCTTCCCACCTTCCGCACCTGAAGATTTTCCACTTACTTTTCAGGGTAAATGTTCCCTCTTCTAGGCTAGATTTCTGGATTCATCCTGTTGGAATTTATCTGTCTGTCTGTCTCTTTCTGTGCCCTCAGTGCACAGAATTTTTACCTATTCTAACAGATTTCATGTTAAAAAAATATTACAAGTGAAGCACTAGTTAACTTCCTAACAGTCCTGGTGGCAGGTATTTTTATCCACCATTTTACAGATGAAGAAACTGAGGCCTAGGGAGGTTAAGAGCCTCTCGTAAGGACATACAGCTGGTGGGTGGGGAAGTGGAGATTCAAACCCAGCTCTTAGTGCTAAGCCTTAAATTGTCCCCAGTCATGATTGTGGCTAGCAGTAGATTGTCAAGCCCTCAAGGGCATTGAGGTCTGTATCTTAGCACAGAACACTCTGGATTCCCAGGCATGCCTGGCACAGAGCTGCACACATGGCTGGTGCTCACTAAAGACCCACAGAACTGGGCTGAAGGTTCCAAGCCTCTCCTGGGCGCATCGAGGGTGTGGAAGATGAGGGACCTCTCTAAGTCATTCTTGCTGAGAACATTGGTGAGACGTCAACTCAGCATGCTCCTGCCTCCTGCAGGCAGTCCCTGGCTAGGAAAGCAGACACCTCGTGGTCTTCTCAGAGTGGGGTGGGAATCTTGGGCTTGGGGCGCCCCAGACCAATGACAGGGTGACCTCATACATGGTTGACTTATTCCAGCTCTGATTTCCAGGAATCAAGCCTGTCTGTTTACGTTGCCAGTCACACACTCATCAAATGTCTAGGGGTGTTTTGAAGGGGGAGCCACAAGCCAGAACAAGGAGAAGCTAGCTTTCATTACATTTACAAGGGGAGAGGCTGCTGATCACTCGCTGTAACCAGTTCTTCCATGCAGACTGGACGGGAGAAGGGAGGCAGCGTCCCCCCTTGCCTGTGGGTGCCTTTGTTCTAAATGCAAGCATCCAAGCCAGCTGCTGCTCCATCACAAGATGTGAGCCTCCAGCAGATTTACGATGGCTTTCAACGTCCTCCTGACAATGGGAGTGTCCCCTGCCTCAGGGTGACTCTGGTGTGAGTGGGCCCCTAAATCTCTCTTTCCTGAGGCTCAGTTGCTCCCCTGCCACCAAGCAGTACATGGTGGTGCTGCAGGGATCACTGTAAGAATAATAACTACTTTTACTGCACACCTACTGTGTGCTGGGGCTATGCTAGGTGCTTTACATACCTTTTCTCTATTCATCGTAACTCCCTCATCGAGAGTGGGTGTCATTGCTCCTTGCTATATACATTGACACTGAGGCACAGAGAGGTGGGGGGGAGGGCTTGTCAGAGGCCTTGCAGCAAGTAAGTGGTATGACTGGAATTCAGACTCAGATGTGTGACTCTCAAACCCTGGCCCCTCTGCCATCATGCTTTCTCCAGATTGCTAGTCACCGGAGACTCGAGTGCTACACTGCATTCCCATGAACTTGCTCTGTGACCTTGGTGAGCTACTTTGTCTCTCTGGACACCCACTTCTTTAGCAAGCTCAGGTGGTTGAATAAGACATCTCTGAGTCCCTTTGGGTTTAAGAAGGTGTTGGCCAAAGGGCAGCAGCGTCCCAGTGGCCAGAAATCAGGTCCCTCCATCTGTGTGGATGGGCTGGATTCCAGGTGGGGGAAGGTTCCCTTGGATGTTCAGTGCTGAGGACCTTCCCTTCCCTTCTGGGGAGAGGCCTTGGGAAGAAGCCTTGAGTGAGGGGCAGAAAAAGGCAGCCCTTCTGTGGTGTGGTCAGGAGAGCAGCATGGCTCCTGTAATAACCCAGAACTCCCTGGCAACCCAGGGAACTTTGAATCAAGGCCTAATGAAAGGTCACAGATGGAAGGGACCTCAGAGGTCATCTTGTCCAACTCCTTCATTTTACAGATGGGGAGACTGAGGCCCAGAGTGAATTAGTGACAGAGCTAGGACTTGAGTACAAGTTCAAATTCTCTTTCATTTAATCTCTCAATACCAGAGATAAAAAACAGACTCCCTTTCCTGAAGAGGGTGGCAGACCAGACCAGAAAACAAACAATCAAAATGTAAGTGGAAAGTCTGACGCAGTGGTATCTTGATGTCCAACCTGGTGCTTCTCCACTCCTGCTCCTGCCTTGCCAGGAGGACATTTAGTAGGATTCTGGAAAGGCAATGCTGGAATGGCCTCAAGAGACCCGCGAGTCTTGGGCTGGCAAATCCCTGGAGTGTGCATGCCTATTCCTTACCCCTGGCCATGGCAGGCATGGCGAGTGGATCACCAAAGCCTCTTCCCATTGTGCCCTTTGAGGCTTCAGTTCTTTTCACAGAAGTGCAGCCAGGCTCTACCGTGATCAGAGTCGGCACATGAGGTAAATGCTGCCTGCCATTCCTGATTAGCTCACCACAGCATCTACAACAACGCACACTGAGCCCTCTATGTGCTGGACCCTGTCCTGAGTAGCATGTTTTAGGTGTATCATCTCACTTAACCCTACAACAAGCCTGCAAGGTCAGTACTATTATGATTGCCATGTGCAGATGAGGAAACTGAGGCCCAGGGCCCCCAGGCCCACTGGCAGTGGAGCTAGGGCTTGGCCTAGGCCTCCTGGTGTTATGTCTAGTCCTCTTGCAGACAGTTCAGCTCTGTGCAGGCCTCGGCTGTGTCTAAAAACTGACCTTTCCCACTAGACTGCTTGAGTGACATCTTCCCATTTTATCTTTTCTGAAGGAAAAACCCCATCCTGAACTTCTCTGCCCAGCCACTGTCTCTGCCCCCAAAGCCACCTCTCCCGGGCCCTGGGCAGTATGAGATCGTGGACTACGAGGGCCCCCCCAAGCATTTCGTCTCCAGTGCATCGTTTGTGTCCAACACCGGCCGGTGGACAGGAGCACCGTCCCAGCCAGGCCTGCCTGGCCCAGGTCAGAGGATTGTTTTAAATGATTGTAATGATTGTAAAACCCAAATGGAATTGGAATTGTTTGTCATTCCTGGGCCGTCAAATGCCACTGATTTATAGGTTGTTTGCCAAACAGGTCACAGGGCTGAGAGTAGATTTAGAAGAGTTATCAGCTCACATTTTCAGAGTATAAAAATGTTTTGTTTCTTAAGATAAAAGGGCCCTTACAGATGATTCAGGCCAGGGATTCATAACCGAGGACCATGAACACCCAGGAGGCTCAAGGATGGGCTCTTGGGATTGTGACTCTGCAATTGTACGCAGATTTGGAGCATGTGGCCATTCAGGGACAAGGGGCCATAGTCATTGCCTTGTCAGATTGTCAGAAAAGTTCTTGCTCTTAAAAACATTGAAACCACTGGCTTAGTGTGGCCAAATCATGTTACAGACAGGGAAGGCCTGGAGAGCAGGTTGGCCCCAGACCCACAGTGACTTAGTGGCAGGCAGAGTGCCAGGTGTTCTCCTCTTTGTGCCTTGTTCACTATGAGACAAACCAGAGACTGATGGATGGAGTGGCTCTTCTAAGCCATCTAGCTGCACTCCTTACAGGGGAGCCTAAGTAGTGATCCCTGTTAATCTGGGATCCACCTGCGAGCTGGTGTCGTAAGGGACTTGCTCACTCCGATGGGTGGTCTCTGTGCTTCCTGGCCTATTTGTAGCTCTCTATAGAGCCCTTTAGTTAATACCGCTCCCTGACATGGCCAGAGCTGGTGGCATTGGGACTGACAGGTGTGGCAGGTGGCACGGGAGGAAGAAGGCAGAGCTGTGAGGGCCACTGAGTCAGTTACACCGACTCGCCCTTTCAGTGGAGATGTCCCCACCCTGGGAAGCAGAGATGACTTGGGCCCTGTGCTTGTCCCCAGAGGCTGCAGTCTGGTAGGGAGACACCTGCTCCTCCACACGCACAGGTGAGACTCATGTACGGTAGAATGCACAGAGAGAAAGTCATTCTCAAAGCCTGGGCCTTCAGATGTACGATAATCGAACCAGCAAACTGCAGAGGTTGACCTGGGGTTATCTGGTCAGTCCAAGAGAACTCAAACAGCAAATGTGCAAATTTTCTGTACAATGGTGAGCTCCAGGAGGCCAGGGATAGGCAGGATCCTAGTCCAACCCTGTTTGGCCCCATCTTCTAAAAGCTTTGTCTGAAAGCCTTCTCGATGCTGCACATGGTACCAGGCATCCGGCACACAGGCGCAGGCAGCTACTGCTGCTCTGATCACCCACCCCAAGATGGGTTTCCCTGGGGGGCCTCCCGGGCACATGTGTATTCTGGCATCTGCCTCTTCGGCTCAGTGGGTGCAGATATACCTGGACTGCCCGGGGCTCCCCCAGCAGCTTCCTGAGTACCTGGACAGAGAGGACGTGCGCAGGACCCCATGAACCGAGTCGGTGTCAACGTGAGGGTTTCTGGTCACTTGGGGCTCTGGCTCTCAAGCCCTGCTTGGTCATGGTGTCTGTAATTGTCATGGCTTTTGCTCTTCAGGAAATTTCTAAACTAAATCAAAGCAAAACCCCACCAAGGTAACACCTTGCTTTCTTAAGAATATTGCTTTACCAATATTTTTTTCAAACTTCATAGAAAATGGTTTTGCTAATTTTGTTCGGGTCCTGCCTCAGCCAGTGAAGAGCCGCATAACCTTGAGCCAGTCCCTTCCTCTCTCTACCCCAAGTAGACACAGCGGCTGCAACAGGGCTGCCCTGGCCTTTTCCGCTCTGAGGCAGAACGTCGGTGACTCCAGCCATGCCCTTCCTCTCTTAATGCGCTCTCTCTCCCCACAGCCACGTACAAGCCAGAGTTCCCGGGAAAGCAGTCCTTCCTCTACAACGAGGACAACAAATGGATCCCAGTGTTGTAGTGCGTCACACAGCTCAGGGGTACCTGGGCCCCCAGCCCATCCCACCCAGCTTCCCCAGGACGTTCCTTAGGAGAGTGTGGACTGCCTGTGAGCTGACGGCTGGGCCACTGTGCCACACCTGCCACCTGGTGCTGGAGCCACCGCTGCCACTGTCCTTGTCAGAGCTCCCCTGCAGATGGCAGCCACCCCCGACTCCAGCAGTTTCCTGAGCAGACAGGAGGAGGGGACAGAGGCCCCACTCCCAGGCTGCCTTCTGGACAACCCCCTCCACAGACACAGGGGCTCCTGAAGTGCAGCCTCCGAGAACAGCCCACGGTGACGGGCCAAGGCCAATCCAGCCCAGAAACCTGACGCTGAGCTGGAGCTCTGGGGCCCGGGGTGTGCCCGTGAAGTGGACAGCGTACACAGGGGCCCAGGCACAGTCCCATCCCTCTGGCCCCGACTTCCAGATGCCTCCTTGAGTCCAGGAAACAGGACGGCTCGGAGGTACCTGTGACAGAGACATGAAGGGGTTGCTTGGGCCTCTCGTCCCCTGCTAATCCTTGGCGTGTCACCATCAGGAAGAACATGGAAACCGGTCACCATGGTCACTTTTTACCCATTCCCTGCTTCCAGAGAGGTGGGCCACATCAGTTTACTGGCCTGGCGTTGGGCAGCACATATGACCAGGACCCTGCTAGAGCCAGAGCTTGGAAGAGGAGCAGGGAGGCCACGCTGTGCCCCGCCCCTGCAGGCTCGCACTTCCCCCGACCTTTCCCCTTCCCAGCCTGGCCTCCGTCCCTCCCTGACCTCCTGCCCCAGTGTCAGAAAAAGACTTATTGACCAAGTGTGACACAATCTTTAACGCATCTTTTCTGGCCTGCCAAATCCTTTACCCTGAGCAAGAGGAAGAGATTCCCAAAGAACCAAGAAGGAATAGAACTGACCTCTGACCCCTTGGTCCCCCTCCATCCTCTCCCCCCCACCATGCCCCAGCTTCCCCAAACAGTGATGTCATCTGTGCTTTTGTAAGTGGAGCCTCTGGTGCTTCTCCCCTCCCCTTCTCCTCTCCCCTCTCTCTTTTACTTCTCTCAGGATGTCACAGCCCAGTCCTTCCCAGGGGACTGGCCACAGACTGGCTCTCCCTTTGGGGAGGGTGGTGAGGGAGACGGAAGAAGAAGGAGGCATCACAATTAAACAGCATTCTTGCTTCTCACAAAAGCTGGCCTTTTTGTGAACTTTAATTCCCGCAAGGGCTTTGGAACGAGAAGCTGCCTGGAACAGTGTGCGGAGTTCTGGACTTGAAGGCAGAGACAGCTCGTGCTTCTGTCTGCTGGGGCTGTAGCTTCTCCTCCAAAGGAAGGGCTGGTTGGAATTCAGGGCCTGTAAGGTCAAAGGCTTCCAGGAGCTGGGCGGGCAGTGCACTGTGAGTCTGGACTGCAGCTGCTGCCGGCTGCGGCCAGGGGCTTCCAGCACAGCTCTGGCTCCTTGTTGCCAGACATACAGATTTTTCAGTAGAATCTGGAAAATCTTTAAAACATGAAAGCTCTTGATTTTAGATGTTGACAACTACATTTCCATTTAAAATTTTTGTTTGGGCAAAAGGAAATTTTTTTGCAGGCCATCAGTTGTCCCTCTCAGTGCTAGAAGTTCTGGAAGACCCTTCAAGGCTGGCTGTATCTTTGTGTGGGCCCAGATTCTTGACTACGGGGCCAGATCCCGAGGCCTTGGTGTTTAGACCCCTCTGACCCTGAGTCCCCTTAGTGATCTTAAGAGCCACTGGGGTAGAAGAAGCTGGCCTGGGGTCACGCTGGGCAGGGGCTGGTGCTAATGCATTGGACGACAGCAACAGGCTTCGCCAATACAGACTGTCTCAGAAGCAGCCCCCTCCAGGTGGGGTCAAGAAGGGGGGATCTGGGAGAGCAGAACAGGGCTGCTCTTGGCCAGTCAGGTCCACATTCCGTGGACAATATGGCTCAGCTGAGGCTCTGAGCCCAGGTGGTCTGCCTTGATCATACCCAGCGGCTCTTAAGATGTCACAGGCTGCTCACAGTTCTGTCCAGCCCGGGGATTCTCAACCCTGGCTAGACATTGTGATCGCCTCAGGTCACGTTAGGGAGATAGCACGACGAGACCCCACCCCCAGAGCTCTGATTTAATTGATCCCAGGTAAGGTCCAGGCATTGCTATCTTTATTAAAGATTTGGTGTGATTGTAGTATAACTAGCTAGGGTTAGGAGACACCGATAATTTGATAAAGTATTTCCCAAATTTTCATGTGCATGCAACTCACTTGGATATCTTATTAAAATGCAGACTCAATGGGTGGGGGAGGGGCCTGAGAGTCTGTGTCTCTAACATGCTCCCAGGTGATGCCCACGCTCTGGTCCATGGGCCACACTTGGAGGAGTAGCAAGGGTCTCATCGATGCTCTTAACGTTCAGCTCTTCATCTGGTCGTTCAGTTGTTCATCCATCTGCTTGTTCACTTATTTTTCCTTCCCTCCCTCCCCTCCTTCCCTGATTCACTCACTCATTCATTCCCTCCCTCCTGCCTTCCTCATCTGCCCTTTTCTGACCTCACTCATTAGCTGTATGTCTGCTTGGGGAAAGCTCCCTGCAGGCAGGTGGTGTTCTCCCCACGAGCCAGCAGCTAGCTTTCTAAAGCAACCACCTGTTTGGAAAAGCCTTTACTTACCTTTACTCCTTTCACCTTCTCACTCTTTGGTAAAAGGTAATCTTGGATGGCAGCTGCCAGGCTCAGGAGCTGCCCTTTTCTCTCGGACTTTCTGTAAGGGCTAGGCTGAATTTCCTCAAGGCTGGCGGGGCTCTCCTTGGGGTCCAAGTGGCTTTTCTAGACATCACAACCTTTGTCTCTTTATGTGGTGGAGGGGGGAAGAAATGTGGCTTTGCTGGAGGCTGTGCTGTGCAGGTGTGCGGGGCAGGAGTTCCCTGAGCTGCACACCAGGCGTGGCGCTGACTCCTGTGAGTCCTCCTGTGCACTGGGCAGCTGGACACTGCGTGCACAAAGGTTTCAAGGCCTGTGCAATTGTGGCCTCCTTAGAGCCTTGACTGCATACTGTATTCACCTGGGGGACTTTAAAAAGTACCCATACCCACCTTTCTCTGGCTGGGCACGGTGGCTCCTGCCTTATAATCCCAGCACTCTGGGAGGCAGAGGCAGGAGGACTGCTTGAGGCTGGGAGTTCGAGACCAGCCTGGGGTTTGCGCAGTGGTCACGAGGGTGGGGCAGAAGGGGTGTAAGCTGCCAGGGTGATTCCAATGGGCAGTCAAGGCTGAGAAGCACAACTTCCAGCTTCCCAGCTGGCTCCAGGACGGAAGCTGGGCAGGAAGCGCAGGAGGCAGGATTGACACATGCTGAGCACCTGCAGGGCGCCGGGTGCTGTGCTGTTGCTCTGCACTCCTCTGACATTTACCTTCCCACATCACCTTGCTCTGGCGTGGAAGGTGGTGTCACAGCAGCAATGAGGCCTGGGCCGGGCAGAGCAACTCTGGATGCTCTGCAGGGTCCCTCCAGCAGTGCCGGACAAGCCATGTTGGAGGCTGAGGCAAAAGGAGACATCAGTAATATTGATCTTGTCTTTAAATTTTTGATATTTTATTCAATGTGGAGTTTTTGCCTTAATAAAAAAATATTGCACTGAACTATTATTTATCTTGATTATGGAACTCTTTGGCAACCCTTAATTTTTGTGCCTGAGGCTAGTGACTCGCCTGCCTGCCCCCAATCCCAGCCCTGACTCTAGGCAGGAGCTTGGGAATTAGGACCATAGATTCTGTCAAGAGTTGGGAGGTTCTTAGGGGCATCCATAGTTTTCAAACTTTAAAAAAAGTTTTATTCAGACAAACGACCATAGGAAACCCTGATATTTAAGTGGAGGAAATCAGAGCTGCTGCTTGAAGTCAGGGAAGACACTTGGGGGTCTGCCAGCCATCCCCTTTTCAACATCGTGGTAGCCTTGAGACCCACCAGTGAACCCTGAGGCTCTAAGGTGACAGTTACAACCAACCAATCTAGACAACGTCCTGCACTTTGTAGCCAAAACAGCTGAGGACTAGAGGTAGCAGTATGTTGGTAAGTCGGTCCTTTCAAAAAAAGAAAAAAAAAAAGGCAAGCCCCGATTTGTGATTCGTTCTCTAGGGGAAATAAAGGTTTGATTTGTAGCACCTGTCAATTTCTGGTTGCCATGGTGGCTGATTGCCATTGTCACCAGTTGCAGAGTTGGGAAGAGAGACACGCAAGTGCTTTGTAAGCTGGTGGAGCCGGCTCCAGAGAAAGTGACTTAGGCTAGAGAGTAGGGGCAGAGCTAATGAGGCTCAAGTCACATGGCCCCAGCCCTGGGCTCTGCCTGCTGGCCCGGCGGTCAGGCCCTCAGCAAGCTCATTCCGGGCCCTTCCCAGGACTCTATCTCCAGGGTCAGTGATCCTGGAGTCATAGCATTCAAAGACAAAGATCTGGGCATCGGGATTCTGCTGCCTTCCAGAGCGGGCACTTCTGTTCCACAAGTGCTCTGCTCTTTCATCACCTTCAAGTCCGGGGCAACCGTGCCCAGCACGGAGCTGTGGCGAACAGAGAATGAGGAGAGCCTCCGGATCCCCTTCCCAGAAGCTTCTCAGGAAAGGCGCATGTGCAGCATGTGAAGTAATACATGGGTAGACTTTTATTACTAAATACCATGAGTATACAAAATGCGTAACTGAATAACAGCTAAAAAAAATAGTCCAAGAAATGTGAAATACACATTTTTTGAAATGATAAAAATGTATCCATGAAAAATATAAAATGTTGCATATATATATATACAATACATATTTATATATATATATAACAAGTGAAAATTGTAAATAAGAAATGTGTACAACAGTGAGTGGCAAGGCAGCGTCTACACAGCAGTCATTTGTTCCAATCAGCTCTGTTATTTACATGGTGCATTGAGGAAGTCTGTGAAAAAGAGGCAGTTTCCACTATAGTTTCTTTCACAAGTCACTTGCACTGAAAATCAAGAGTTTTCACGTTAACTGACCAAAGGGTGAGAAATCCTTGGTCTGAAGTTAATGGAAGATGCAGAGTGGGGGCCGGACCAGAGTCCAGCCAGCTGGCGTCGCACGCGGGAGGGAGGGCGTGCCTCCGCCGTCTGAACAGCAGCCTGCGGGAAATCAGGATGGCACCGGCTGGCAGGGGCAGGCACTGGCAGGAAGTTCAGGAGCAGATTCAAGCGTGCAGTGGGGGTTCAGATCAGGGAACCTCCAAGGTCTCTTCCTCGGCCCGAGATCTGCGGGTTTGTGACTCTAGGGCCTCTTCCCCCAGGAAAGGCATTCAAGTAACAGCACTGAGGCATGTGGACAGGTTGTGTGTGGCCCACTTCCCAGCTGGGCCCTGCAGGGAGCCCATACCAAGGGGCCGTGGGCTTGGATGCTTGGGCCTTACAGCTCCTTAAGGATGATCTGAATCTTGCCGTCCATCTCCCCCATGTCCAGTAGGAAGGCGACGTGGTTGCTGTAATGCTGAATGATGTTGTTGTCCATGTTGACTAAGATTCTGGAAGATAAGAGGAGATGCAATTGGAATATGGCAGGCCCTCTTGCTTTTAAAAGGATGATGGCAATGGTTAAATCAAGGGGGTGCCTGCAACGTTTCAGGCACATCATAAACTTCGATCCTCAAAACAACCCTGCAAGGTGGGTATTCATAGTGCACATTGTGCCCTCCCCTTCACAGGGGAGGGCACAATGCCTAGTTGCCAAACCCAGGCCTGCTGGCCACCACACCACAGCTACTATGCCGACTGCCTCTCTCCCGAGGGTGGACACTTTTGAGCAACTGATACATGGATCTGCCATAGACAAAGCACTCCCTTAGTAGCCACGTTGAGGTTTCAGACATGGAGTGTAAGTTCAAGTCCAGGAGGTGTAGTGGTTTAGGTTCAACAAGAGGCTAGGGGCTGGGGGCAGTGGCTCACACCTGTAATCCTAGTACTCTGGGAGGCTGAGGCGGGCGGGTCATTTGAGCTCAAGAGTTCGAGGCCAGCCTGAGCAAGAGCGAGACCGTGTTTCTACTAAAAATAGAAAGAAATTACCTGGACAGCTAAAAATATATAGAAAAAATTAGCCGGGCATGATGGTACATGCCTGGAGTCCCAGCTACTTGGGAGGCTGAGGCGGGAGTTTGAGGTTGCTGTGAGCTAGGCCGATGTCACGGCAGGCACTCTAGCCTGGGCAACAGAGTAAGACTTTGTCTCAAAACAAAACAAGAGGCTAGGATGTGTCACTCAGGTGTGCCTGCCTGAGCCAGAGGCAGGTATCACACGAGTCTCTGCTCAGCTCCATCCCCATGAAGCCAAAATCTCAGGGGGATTGTACAATAGACATGAGGGGCTTGGTCCTCTCTCTCCCCACACTCCCTAGAAAAGGGCCTGGGCCAACCTGAGAGAGACAGAACCTCCATAGCTGTTGTCCTTGCTAGGGTTGGTCAAAACCATAGTTTATGCCAAAGGGCAGCCCTGTCAGAGCTGCTCCTGATGAAGGCCACACCTTGGTGTGACCTGAGCTGATCACATCAGCTTCCCTTTGCCCCTTCTCTGCTAAGTCTCCTGAGCTTTGATGGAGTTGAGTATATCCACTAGCCTACCCACCCATCCACCGTCTATCTGACCACCTGTCCTCCACACCCCCCAGCCACCCCCGAGCATTTGCTGAGGCCTTTCCCTGTGCAGGGCCTTGCTCCAAAAACAAGGACCACATAGAGATGAATTAGACCTGATCCTGTTCTCCAGGAGTTTAGAATCTAGCAGGGACTGGGAGAATGAATCCTTATAACCATATTACTCCTGTTCATAGACGGGGAAGCTGAGGTTCAAAGAAGCAAAGTCACTTGCCCAAGGTCACACAGTTAATAGATGGCAGAGCTGGGATTTGAATCTAGACCTTTGCCTCTTTCCATTGTACCATTTTTATAAGGAAAAAAAGCCCTATAAATACAAGTTAGGAAGTGGCAAATATAAGGAAGGCAAAACACAGGCTGGGGACAGCTCAGACAGGGCGGGACTATTTCAAGTGGGGCAGCAGTGGCAGGCAGGGGTCTGCTTTCATGAGGACCCCACAAGGGAGGCAGTGGACGCAGCGCTGACCCTGACGCCCACGGCCTTCGTCCCTCTGTGTCTGTGGGCATCAGCCGGGCAGCTGCTGCTTTCAGGGAAGGTCCCGGCTCAGGCTCCCAGAGGCCTGGGCGCTGACTGCCAGGGTTTGAGTATAGGACCCCCTTCGCGGGTCCTGTCTGGAGCTCCTTCGTTTCCCAGAGGGATCTTTGTCTGGGGGCTGGAGGAAGGGAACAGACCAGAGGAGACGAGGACAGGGTAGAGGGTGGGCGCTTTGTCAGCGTGTCCTATGGCGGCGCGCACTGGGTGCTTTGAGGTCCCCCGCACTGTGAAAGCGCCTTGCGTGCACCAGCTTGAAAGCTGGACCCTCGCACTCCCCAGCGGGGCTCGCGCTGGCCCGAGCTCACACCTGCGCACAGGGATCCTGGACAGGCCCACAGAGCCCTCCCCTCGGAGGTCAACGACAGCTGGGCCCTGAGAGGCAGGGGCTCGTCAGGAGCCGCTGTTACTTCCCAGCGTCTAGCTACCCTCTGCCCTGCGCTGCACTGAGCCTCTGGCCAGCTGCCAGCAACAACAAGTATTTGTTAATCTTTCAAGCACTCAGTGTGCTTGTAAAGCTGCTTGTATCTATCAGTGTCTGGAGGACTTTCAGGGGGGTTTTGTGAAAATAAACTCAGCTGTTGGTTAGAATTTCCTGCTCCTCGAATGAGGACTGGCCTGTCCTCTCCCAAGAGGTGTCTGGGGCAATATTCTCGTTCAGACAACCCTGGGGTGATGTTTCCATGGCCTTGGGGGGGTGTGGGGTGTGGCCAGTGAGCAATGCCGTGGGCCATGGCACTGGGCAAATAAACGGGCGGGCCTGGCTGCAGCCTTTATTTGCACACTGCTTAGCGGTTAGGGGACAAGCAGGGAGCGAGATAAAGTAGCGGATGTGCACAGAGGCCGCCTTCTGCCCGCTACTAACTCATGACCTTGTAACTACTCGGGACCTCGACTTCCTTATCTATAGGAACAGAGATGTGACACTCAGCTCTAAGGGTCAGTAAGATGATGCCTGGGAGATATTGAGCCCAGTGCCCGGCATGTGGGAAGTGCTCCATAAATAGAAGGCATTACAATTATGACTTAGTAGCTGGCTGGGGCTTAAGGGAAAGCCTCTTGCCACTCAGCCAGTGGGGCTGGGGTGGGAGGACATCCTTGTAAGCAACGCCGCCCCCGGCCCCAGTCATATCCAAAAGCACTTCTCGGCCTCTCGGCCCAGCCTGGGGTGGGACTGTCGGGGGTGTGGCACTGGCACTGGGCGTGGGGTGGGGGGGAGTCGGGCTGGGCTTGTCTGGGCAGAGCAGAGCCTGCCCTTGGCCATGATGTGGATTCCGCTCCAGAGAGCATGTGAGCCCCAGTTTGAAACCGAAACTTGGAAAAAAAGACACACAGAAAACTCTAGACATGTCTACAACTAAAACTAAATGGATCCCTTCCCAGGAGCTGCAGTGACGGACAACTGCCCCCACCCCCAACCGTCTATGGGAGGCTGGGTGGGAACGGAGGAGGAGGGAGAAAGGGCTGGGTCTGTGACTACGTGGGGCCAAGCTTGAGGACAAAACCTGTCCTGCTCAGCAGTCCTCTAAGAAGGAAAACCCGCAGACCGCAGCCATGGGGCAAGTGGCCGAGCACCTTCTGGGGGCTACTAGTAAGCGCAGGTGGAGACTGGCTGTCCAGAGCAGGAGGACCGGACCTGAGCTGTGGGCAGAGGGGCCAGGAGCACATTTCCGGGGCCCTGTCCTGGGTCCTCTGTGCTGGGAACAACAGTGACAACTCCTCACTGTTCAGGGGCCCCATGCCAGGCTGGTGAAGTGAGCTAGTCACAAAGGGCTGCAGAGGCCCAGCTCACTGGCTCTGACCAGGGCCCTCACCAGGGCAGTGACCACGGGACCCTCCCCCTCTCCCAGCCATTAGCTCCTAGCAAAGGCCAAGGTGCTGTGGTCCCCAGGAGCCCGTGGTGGGCGGCCAGGCAGGGCATGGCTTCACTCCTTCTGGCCCCGTCTAGTCTGGAGGTGGAGGAGGCCTGAGGTGCATCTCAGACAGGGCTCCCCCAAACAGCTCCCAATCTCGACTCCCTTCCTGACTCATTGCAGCCACGCCACTCCTGCCCCTAACTTGCCAGTAGCAACTTTGCTGGGCCTCTCTGCCTGTGCCTCTGCCCCGCTCCTCCTGCCCCTGAGCGCTCCTTATCCCCTCTGGGACTCAGTGTCCTCATCTGTAAAATGTGTGCAGTGGTATCTACCTTAGTGCAGCCATGGGGGTTAAATGGGATACCCTTAGCCCAGTATCAAGGCATGGTAAATGGGCAAGTGAACAGTAGCCCCTGTAATCATTATCATCATAATCAAACGGCTTAATTTTCCAGTGGCCTTGGGACTTGAACCTGGGTCTCCTGACACGTGACCCTGCACTTCCCCTCTGCCCCAAGAGGTTGCATATAAAGACCCTTCTGCCTCTCCCACGCCTACTGTCCCAGTAGTGATCAACGTTTCTGCAGGTGGGGCCCTGGCCTAACCGGGGGACTCTACACCTCTCGGCCTCTCCACGAAGGCCAAGTACAAACGTTCCTCTGCACCGAGCAGTCAGCAAGGGCAAGGGTGAACTGGGCACTTACCCCCGCTTGCATTTCTTGTAGACTTTGTAAATATTCTCTTCAGGGAACCCATACTTCTCAGAGATCTGGAAGACAAGAGGAGAGAATTCATTGCCTGCTGTCCAAGCTGGATTTACACATCTTTTATGCCATCACTTTTTACTTCCTGATCATAAAAGTAAAGTATATCCATATATGGAAAAGTATGAAGAAGAAAATTACAGTCATCCATAATCCTGTTTCCCAGAGACAAACGCATTAACGTCGGGGGTACGCCTTCCCGTCTTTTGGCCACGTGTATAGATACTTTTATATTCCACATAGATAGTTTTGTGTAACATTTAAAACTTATCATCATATAATAAGCCTTCCCATATCACAACAAACACTTGGTAAAGAGCATTTTTCATGGCTGAAAAATACCCTAAAAAGCATCTACCTCTCTGCAATTGTCAATCTCAAAAAAAAAAAAAAAAAAGCATCTACCATTTTCCACATTCTGCCTATTGTCAGACATCTGGATTGTTCTAGTGCTAAAGGTGCCACCAGCTAGGTGGCTTTGTGCAAACCACATGTGCAGACAGTAATCATGCCTACCTCACAGGGTTCTAGAAGAATTAAGTGAATTGATCTGCGTAAAACACTTAGGACAGCTCCTGGCAGGTACTGAGCCCTGAGTAAGGGGTTGTCACTGTTTTAGGAACGGAGCAGTGGGGATACTTCTTGCCCTGCTATGACGAGGGTTGTAGCCCAAGGCAGGAATTGTTAACCTCATTTGATGGGTGAGCATGCCAAGCTCGAAGACGATAAGCCACGCACCCGAGGCCTAGACCCCAGGTTAACTGACTCAGTCGCATCCCAGAACGTGGGGGCTCATTCTGCGATGGCAAGACGGCAGCTCAGAGGCTTGTTGAGTGGCCCGCCCGAGCTCCCACAGCCAGAGCCTGCCCTCTTCTCCCCAGAGCTGCTGGAGTGTCCTCCGGGGCAGATGGATCCAGTCTGGTCCCAGCTGTACCTCCTGGAGGTGCAGAACTTTGAAGAGGTTACTTCTCTGAGCTGCAGTTTCCTCATTTGTAAAATGGGAGCATAGTAATGGCTTGTACACACAGGGTGGCTCTGCACACGAACGGAGATGATTATGTAAAGGGCTCAGCCCCCGTGCCCGTCCCAGGGCGAGAGCTCAGCACCATGTTAGTGTCCAGTAGGACTGGCTGCCTTGAAGCTGCAGCGAACCTCAGGCTATCGGTTTCAGGGGGAAGTGGTCCTCTCTGGGCCTTTTAGGAAGAGGATCAGGTTCAACCTCTCAGTTATTCTCTGGCTTGACGCAGATCCCTCCAGGCAGGAAGAGCTCTTAGACTACTACTTATTTTAATGGTCATGTGGCTGCAAGCGACCAGGAAGATCTTAAGTCAGTCTAAGGAAGAACTTGGGAACTTTCTAACCATAAGTTGAACAGATTGTGCAAAGACAGCATGGGCTGCCCTGCAAGGTAGTGAGCTCTCCATCCCAGGAAGTATAAAAATCAAGAGTGGGCACCCACTTGGAAGAGCTTTTAGAGAGAGAGCTCAGGCACCAGATGGGGAGCTGACCCTTTAACGTACTGTCCAACCCAAAGATTCTGAGTCTATATTCAAGTGACATTAATGGCCTTTTGTGGCCCAATGTCCTGGGGCTGATGCCAGGCAGGGCTGATGACAGGTAAAGAGGACAGGACAGCACAGCAGATGGAGAGAGCTCGGGCCGAGATCCCAGCTCTGTCACTTTAAGCCAAGAACTCTGGCAAGTCACCTGCCCTCTCGGAGGTGCTTTTGTGGGAAATGAGGAGAGATTAACGGCACCCACTTTTCAGGGTTGTTAGAATATGATGAGGCAGCAAGTGCAGTGTGCCTGGCCAAACGCCTGGCACGTAGTGGGTCTTCAGCCAAAGGTAGATAATGTGATTGTTTGATTCATTTTCCCTCCTCCAGCCTGAGCTCTTGGCACCAGCTGGCCTTTCCGAGCAGTTCGGCCTCCGAGCACAGCCAGGCCTGGTGGAGGCTGTTTGCTCAGTTTTCAGCTGAGCCACAAAGCTGGCTGTGGGTTTTGTTCGGGGCTGGGCTGTTTCACCCGCTCTCTGGCGGTCTGGGGGGTTGGGGAAGGCTTCCTTGCCTGGTCACCGCCTTCAGCCACCCCAGCCGGTGCCCCCCAGCCAACCACAAGCAGGAGGAATGAGGCCCCCTGGGAAAGAAAAAGTGTTTCTGGGGCCCAGCCTTTTGGGTTTCATTCCCATTAAAACTGAAACAGGTTTGCAAAGCCAACAAAAAGCCCTGGCCTGTCAGACAGCAGCTATCAGATTAAGGAGGATTTATGGTGTGTGCGACTCCAGGGTGGAGCCAGGGTTCTGCTGGCAGATAGCATCGCAGCGGCACACCCCCACCAGCAGGGCCCCCCAGCCCCCTAAGCGGGGCGGGGGACAGGTAGGCCACCAGCAAGCCAAGATTCCTTCCTGTGGGAACTGAGAACTGCGTGGTGAGGAGCGGGGAGCGCAGGGGGCTCGGCCAGGGCAGGCAGGGCCCGGAAGGCAGCTTACCGCGTTCCTGAGCCCCTTCAGGTCCGGGGTCTTCAGCATGAGGGCGTCAAACACTTCCTCAGTCTCCCGCCGCACGTACAACAGGACTGAAAAGCAGAGCGCGGCCGTGAGGAGGATAACAGGCCCGGGAATGTCTCAGGGGCTGGGGAGTCTAAAGATACTACTTTCATTCAAGATCAACTCCTGCTGAGGTCTGTGCCCAGCTGGGAGGCAGTCCCCCGGCTCCGCGGGTCCCCACACACCCTCTTAGACAGTGCTGATTTGGGGCCTGTGACTCCCCCCACTCCACTGCCTGCCAGTGGATGACCTTGAAAAAGTGATTTAAACATCATGGAGCCTCATTTTATTTATGCGTAAAATGGGGGTGCTGCCCCCTATTTCACAGAGTTGTTGTGGGACTTAATGACGATATTTGGAGATGCCAAGTGCAAGTGCAAAGCTCAATGCACAGCTGCCGGAAGCCCTTGATCTCTGCTCCCGGTTGGTTCTTCCCTGATGGCCAGCTACAGCCCCAGAGGTTTGGGTGTGTCCCCTCCTCCCCCAGGAAGTCACAGATTTAGAGGGTCAAGGCTAGAAAGCCAGACATTGGCCCCACCCCCTCCCACCGTGTTCGAGAAAGCGTGGGGACCTGCCAGCGCCGTGAACCTGGTGCCTGCGCCCGCTGCCCGGCCGCCCATGCAGTGGTCTCCCCGAGCAGCGGGGTGCCCGCGTTGCCCCCACCCCCAGTCTTGGCCCAAACCCAGCTCCAAAGAGCAAAGCAGCTCCTTGCGCCCTCCCCGGGTTGGGACGGGAGGCAGGGGCTGGGGGCTCTGCTACCTCTCTGAAGGTCGTCCTCCTTGGCCTGCTTGGAGGACAGCGGCTCGAACTCCTCAGCGAAGGGCGAGCAGGTGCGCTTCAGTGACGGCCTGTGGGACGGCAGAGAGGGGCCAGTGAGGAACCCTGGGGCCCCGGACACGGCGTGAAGCAGCGGGTCTGGAGCTGGGCTGCCCGGGTGCCCCAGCCCCGCCTCACTCTCGCTGGTGACCTGGTGAGTCCCTAGCCTGCCGGCGACCCCATCTATGAACGAGGTGATGGCAGGGCGATAACAGCTCACAGAGCTGCGCGGGGCTGAGGGGCAGCGTGTGACATGTGGAGGGCCACGGTGGATGTGGACCGTCATCAGTCAACATGGCTCTCCTCTGAGAGGATCTGGTCGGGCGCGAGGCAGCGGGAGGAGGAAGCACTGCGGGTTTTGGAGGAACACAGATGTGGGTTCCAGTCCTGCGGTTGTGACTTAACAGCTGTGTGACTAGAAGGCGCTTCGCTTCTCTGAGCCTCAGTTTCCCTGTCCATCGAGTAGAGCAACTGCCCCTGCTCACCATGGCTGCTGTGAGGCGAGGAGCGACAGGGTTTGGCCTGAGAGCACCGCGTGACTGGGACGCGAGGTTCACGGGGAGAAGGTGATCGCGGGACGCTGGTCTCCACACAGCGGGCCCCGCGCACAAGGGCCCCTCAGGCTGCCCCTCCCCAGGCTGTTTCCTCCTCTGAGGGGTTTGTGGGCGGAGGGGCCAAGGGTCTGTTAGGGCACTAGGGCCGTGGCTGGCAGAGGGAAGGACGAGAGACCCTGCCTAGGCCCCTCCTGGGCGTCTGGTGGGCCTGTGCTGGGGGAAGGAGATGGGCCCTCAGCCCCCACGTCCTGCAGCTCAGCTTCCCTCCTGGCTCTCGAATCTGCACCATCGCAGAGTCTTTTCCTTTCCCCTTTTACAGGCGGCTGTCTCGCCAGAGATTCGCCAACTTTGCACATAAAACAAACTCGTAAAAACCCAGGCAGTTTCAGCGAGAAAGGAGAAAGGAGCGTGGATCTAGCGTGGGGGCTGGGGGCAGTCTGGTGGCTTCTTCCTCTGGCCCCAGGCCCTGGCTGGGGGAGCAGGCGGATGGGGGGCTGGGGGCGGTGGGGTGGCAGAGGGCACAGGCAGGGAGGGGTGGCCCTCCTTCCCTCCGTACCTGCTGGAGCCACTGGGTCCTGCCGAGGGGACAGCCTGCAAGGAAGAGAAAAACGTTTTATCGTCACACTCAGGAAGAGGAGAGGAGCACTCAGCTGCTGGAGGCTTTCTGGAAGGAACATTCTTTGGTGGGGAGGGGAGGATGCTGTTTGATGCCTTTCTAGCCCATTCTGCTCATACAAGTCCCCTTTAGTGACCTGAGATCCTGAGTGGAGAGGAATCATCCAGCCCGGGCTGGGTGAGTCAGGCACTCAAGTGAGCACACGGAGGCGGGAAAGCCGTGTGGGCAGAGCAGCAGGGCCCACCTGAGCCTGCCTGGGCCCCGGCACGCCCAGAAGGGCTGGCCTTGCAGCTGGTCCTGCAGCTGGCGACCAGGCATCAGAGCCGAGGCCGAGAGGGTGAGGGAAGAGGTGCTCTTTCTGACACTACTGGGGCTGCACTGTGTGGTCTGGCATGGCCATTGCCAGTCCTGGGAGGTGAGGCGCCTCCTCAGGTAACACAATGGTGGGAGGCAGAGTCAGGGCTCAAACCCGCTCTCTGCTGCTGCTGTCTGAGCTTCTCCACCCCCAGGCTCCCACGTGCAGGGATGGCCTCTCCTCCTCCCCTACAGATTAGCTGTCAATCTGTGCCTCAGTCCTGAGTGGCCACCCCTGCTTGGGGCCTGAGGGTGGGAAGAGCAGAGACAGAAGGGCTAACAGGGCCCTGTGCAGGGCGGAGAGGAGAGGAGGGTGGTAGGAGGTGCTCAGCCTGTGCCAAGAGCTACGTTAGCATTGGCTGCTCTTTTCAGCTCCATAGTCCACCTTGTCCTAAATCAATACACTAAACACATCTTGAACACCAAGGTTTGTTTCTGCAAATGCTCAAACGCGGCAAGCTGTGCCTCAAGGAACGGTCAGATTGTTCCAAGCGGAAGCAAACTAGGAGACAGGCTCTGGGGTCGGACTCTGCCACGGACTTGCTGTGGGACCTTGCCTGGCAAAGGGGGCAAGCCCAGTCCTAGGCCGGCCGTGACGGGGAAGCGAGACAGCGCTGCAAGGGGCTCGGCCAGGCCCACCCGAGCAGCTGGTGGTCGCCAGGGGCGCAGGCTCTGAAGCCAAGCTCCAGGCCACACCCTGGCCCTGTCACTAGCCGTGTAGTCTCAGGAGGTTTCCTAACTTCTCTGTGCCTTTATTTCCACCCCACGGATCCAGGGAGAAAATATCACGGATTCCATAGGGCCGTGGTGAAGGTTAAGGGAGATCACGCCTGGGAAGCTCAGAGCAGCGCCTGGTGCATAGTGAGCGCTCACGAGTGGTGCTGTGATAATTCGGTGAGACTGCAATCAAATCTGAGGCTCAGAGAGCAGAGCTTCCTCCATGTGTGCCCTAAGCCTGAACAAACATGTCTATGACCATAAAGTCCATTTCCTCATGAACGTCTTTCTAACACAATAGGACACTGAAGTCACGTAGCCATATACGCATGTTTTAATCCCCTGGGATCCAATAAAGGCATTTTCATTTTGAAACCGTCTGAGTTTGAAACTGGCGGGTTGCTCCCCACTGCTCTGTGCTAAGGCAGGCCCCAGCCCGGCCCGGACCCTCTCTCGGCCTCTCCCCAGCCCGCCCGCGGCCCTCACCCCGCCAGGGCGCTGCAGGCTGGAGAAGTGCACGTTGGGGATGAACAGCACCGGCGGCGTCTCCAGGTCAGCCTCTGGCCGCAGGTAGGTGGTCTCGTTGCCCCTGAAGCCCGACAGCAGGCAGTCCTTGATGCCTGATGGGAAAATGAAGCCCATGTGCCCGGGGGTCCCTGCGGTCTCCTTGCCCCTCTGGTCTCCTGCCCTTCACCCCCGCCCAGCCCAGCCAGCCCCGGGCCCATCCCCACTGACCGCTATTGCTGGAGTCCGGGCACTTGACCTTCCTCCGGAACTGCTTCCTCTCATCATCCCGCATCTTCCTCTCGGCTCCCTGCAGGGGAGAAGGGGATGGGGTCACCGAAGGCCGGGGAGGGGCTGGCTACGTTCACAACCGCTGCTCTGCATCTTCATGGGCCAGGCTTCTGGTCCTGCTTTTTGCCCAGAGCGAGACCAGCAAATAGGAAGGTGCCACCACCTGGCCCAGCCCGGCCCTGCCTGCCTGAGGTGTCAGTACAGGGGGAGAGAGGGAGAGAGGGAGAGAGGGAGAGAGGTAGGGGAAGGGAGAGAGGAAACAGGAGGAGGAGTGGGGGAGGGGGCAGAGAGAGAAGCAGAGAGGGACAGACATGCCCGGAGAGGCTGGGAGGGGGTGAGTGTCGGGCTTGGCCCCTCTCCCTCCCAGGGCCCTGCAGAGGGTCTGCTGCCCCAGCCACCTTGTCACAGAAGATCTTGATCTGGCAGACCGCGCGGTGTACCAGGCGCTCAGTGCCTGAGCCACAGTCATAGGTATCAATCTGCAGGTTCAGGGGGACACCCTTCACCCCCTTCTGTGAGGAGAAGTCTGTGCTCAGGCAGTTGACTCCGATGAACACCTGGGGACGGGAGGAGGAGCTGGGTCAGTGGCCCGCCCGGCTCCCTGCCCCGCCATCCCACAGTGCTGTTTGAGGCTCCTGTGTGCCTGGTGAGCACCCTTAAGCCTCACGCAGCCCCTGGAAGACAAGCTCCGCCACCCCTTCCACAGATGGGGAGCAGATGCTCAGAGACGGTGGCAGCTTTCCCAAGGTGACCCAGCATGTGCGGTAGAGCTGGGGTCCGAACCCAGACTCAAACCCAGCCCCTCACCACTGGGCATACAGCTCCCCATGGATTGCCAAGGGCAGCCCAGTGGCCGGGCCCTGGGAGGGATATCAAGGGTCCTTTAGGAGCTTAAAATCCAGAGCCTCATTTCTCTGCAACTCAGAGCAAGGAGGTTGGCAAGGGCCACGCCCTCGTCCCTGCTTTGGGAGACCACCCCACGGATCCAGGGAGAAACTATCACGGATTCCATAGGGCCGTGGTGAAGGTTAAGGGAGATCACGCCTGGGAAGCTCAGAGCAGCGCCTGGTGCATAGTGAGCGCTCACGAGTGGTGCCGTGATAATTCGGTGAGACTGCAATCAAATCTGAGGCTCAGAGAGCAGAGCTTCCTCCATGTGTGCCCTAAGCCTGAACATGTCTATGACCATAAAGTCCATTTCCTCATGAACGTCTTTCTAACACATGTCTAACACGTCTGCTGGCCCGGAGGCTCAGAGGGTAGGACACAGCCCATCTACCCCACCCGCTCCAGGCATCGCTAGACCCTCTGAAGTTCTTTCCACGCATTCGATCCCACCCATGCACAGCAAGGCAGCCCTCCTGGTCACCCCCACTTTACAGCTGGGAGAATGGAGGCTCTGAGCAGGGACATTCCCCCAGGGAGTCAGGCCAGGTGGCCTAACAAAGTGAGCCTGGAGGGGAGACCGCCCAGAGCTGGGGTGGGAAGTTGGACTCCGCTGCTCACTAGCCACGTGGCTTTGGACAAATCCTGTAACCTCACTGAGCCTCAGTCTCCTTATTTGTAAAGTGGGGATGATGAAACCTATCTGTGTGGCTGTCGGGGTACGGAGACCACCTAATGTGCTGCACGTGTTGTGACTGTTGTCATGAGAGGGACAGCTGGAAATCAAGTCTCACCCTAAAGTCTATGCCTGGCTGATGGCAGCCCTGGCAAGGTCACCTGGTGACTGTCTACCCACTGGACCTCTCCATGGGCTCCATGGGACCACCCCCTCCAGAGTGGTCCCTGGTCTTTGGGACATTTCCCTTGGAAATGACCCTGACCTGAATAGGAGGTGGGGTACAGCGCCTGGGCAGATCCCTTCCTTCCTCAGCTTTGGGGTCCAGGCCCCCAGGTGCATGCCGGACATACCTCCCTCCGCCCGCCCAGCCCTCCTGCAGCCCCCACCCAGCTCAGCTGCACCTGAGAAAACTCACGCCTGGGGGCTTAAGAGACCGTGAGAAAATCCCCACCGAAACCCACCTCTCCTTTCCCACGAAACTTTTCCCCACTCCCTGAAGCAGAGGCCCCAGCTCCTCCTCCTCCAGCCCCTGGCGTCTGTTTGAATAATCATAATCCCTGCCTTTGTGCCTTCCTTTGTGTTGTCAGAGCTCTCTCCCCTCCACTTTCTCCGGGCAGCAGGCAGGGAGGCAGGGGCTAGCTTCCCAGCCGTCCAGGCCGAAATGCCCTAGAGATGAGCTGGACCCAGCCTGGTGGGTGAGGTAAGCCTGGGCCAGGGAGGAGAAAGGACAGGCCCAAGGTCACCCAGCTCCCGACTGTTAGACCAGTGCCCTTCCTGTGATGCCAGCTCTCTAGAATGAGAAGCCAAGACAGAGCTGGGCTCAAGCACTAAGGCTGGAAGAATCTTCACAGCTTAACTACAAGTGTGAACAAATGGCCAGAGGCCCTGTCTCGCGGGCCTCTCTGATGGGGCTGCTACTGTTTTGGTCTCTCAGACGTGCATGATCTTGTAGAATCTTCACCGCAATCCTAGCAGGCAGATTACTGTTCCTATGCTTCGGGCTCAGAGAAGTGAGGTCACTGGGATTTGAGCCCTCATTCACCAGGTTCCTTAGCATCTCCCCTGCAGCCTTCTGCACTGGCCCAGAAGTCAGAAAACCTGGGTGTCATCAATGACTTGCTGTGCGACCTTGCACAAGGCTCAGTTTTACCATCTGGTAAATGGGTGGGTTGATGTAATCCCCACAGCCACTGTTTATGTGCCAGGCGTGTGTTTTACCTTTTACCTTCCTCGCCTGATCCTCATGACAACCTATCAGATGGTGCTTTGATTCTGCTCCTGTTTTACAGCCAAGGAAACTGAGGCTCAGAGAGACTAAGCACTGGTCCAAAAATTCATGCTGTGGACCAGTAAGTGGAAGGACTGGGGTGTGGACCCAGCCTATCTGGCCCCAGGGCCCTGCTTCCACCCTTCTCTGTACCCTGGCTCCTCTGTGAGTGCTCTCTTCGGAGCAAATGCCACAGTCCCAGGCATAGGCAAGCCTGTCCCCTAGGATGGGGGCTTCCGGGCAGCCCAGTCCCATCCCAGACGCTGCCTCCAGCACTGACCTTGGCCTCCTCATTCACGTTCCACACGAAGGACAGTGCATTATAGGCCACCTCCTCAATGTGCTGCACAGTGTTGAAGTTTTCTTTGCAGTCAGCTGGAACCACAGGAGACCAGAGGGAGAGTCAGGAAGGAGGGATTTGGGGGTGCTTTGGGGAGGAGACGTTTAAGAACTGGGCCTCACTCTAGGCCCTCCGACCTCTAAGACGGGTCACTGAGCAGTCCCCTATTTGTCCCGCGTTCGCCAGCACACACGGCTCTGGAGTAGAAACCAGCACTGCATGCGGGCGGGGGAGCTGGCCTCGTTCTGTTTCACACTTGGACAAACTGAGGCTCAGGAAGGGGGGTTGACATAGGTCACAACCAGGAAGAGAGTGACAGAGCTAGGAGCTGATGACTTGAGGTAGGCTGAGCCTCCCACCTGCTTCAGGGCTCAGGACAGGGACACACAGGGGCCTTTCCCCTGCCCCTACCTGTGGACAGAGCCCGAGGGTCCCAGCTCCCAGAGAAGGCTCTTGTGCCGAGCCCCGAGCTTTCCAAATCCCCCCTCCCTGCTGCCTATCTTGTGCCTTTGTGTCTCCAGGGGCCCCCTGATGGGGATGAACAGCCCAGCATCTCAGGGGCCTCTTTATCTGACACTGCCTGGAGCCCAGGGCCCTGTTTATCTCAAAGCAATGCAGAAAAGAAGAGGCTGCTTCTAGTCAACAGATGCAAATCCCTGCAACCCCCCAGTGTTTGACCTGGAGACAGAGGTCACAGGGGGCTGGGGAAGTGGGGTGCTGCAAGAAAGAGGCCTGGCTGGTGTGGGGGGAGGAGAGAGACTGGGAGGGGGCGGGCTCTCACCCACGTCGATGACCCGCTGCTTGGCGGTGGGCTGCCGGGAATGCCAGTGCTTCCAGAACCGCAGCTGCTCTACTGGGACCTTCTCGTTGTCGAAGACAACCATCACCACGCTCTGTAAGCACAGGAGGGTACTGTCACCCCGGCCTCAGGAGGAACCCAGGTAGTTCCAGTCCTTTCCTAGAGCCTAAGTCCAGCAGCCCTGCCCTTTTGTCTCAGTTTCCTTGCCCCATGGCAATGGGCTACTATCAAACAGTGTCTCCCTGGGAGCCCTGGCTGGCCCCATTGGCAGGCGTATCCTGCCCCATTCCACCCTCTCCCCAAGCTGCTCCAGGGCCAACACACCTTCACTTTGTTGGAGGACAAGGCAAGGCCTTTGCCCCCTGCTGGGGTCCGCAGGGTGACAGGGTAGAACTGGCCCTTGTTGAGGTAGGCCATGGGCGACTCGCCTGACTTGATGTGGATGGCTTTGGGGGAGCCCAGGGTGTATTCAAAGTCACTGTGGGGAAGAGGGGGAGGGAGGACAGTGAGGCTGGGCTCACAGGCGGGATCCCAGGGTGAGGTGGGGCAGGAAGCCTGAGGCTATGTTAGGGGCTTGCCGTGTGACCTTGGTAAGTCACTTTGCTTCCTTGGGCCTCAGTTTCCACATTTTGGAGGTTCTATTTAATGGCTTTGTTGGGCCACATCCTGCTGAATGAGCGCCCAGTGAAAACTGGAGGGACCCCTGAGGGGTGACAAAGCCACAGGGGAAGCGAATGGCAAGCTCTGAGCTCCCTGACATGGCCCAAGAAAGGGACATAGAAATCATTCTCTCTCCTTATATCAGCCTTCACTCCCTGCTTTTCATCCAGTGAGTTTTGCCTACTATGCTCTGAGGACAGTTTGGGGCTCCGTCTGTAGCCAGTGCCCAGGTGGCCAAGGATCCATGGGGCCAACTTACCTTTTGAGGCTGGGATAGTCCTCTGGACACTGGGGTTCTGGGGATGTTTTCAAGATATCTGGGAAGAGTAGTGACTGCAGAGAAACAAAATCACAAGAGAATAAATGGCCACAGTCAGGCTGTGGGGGCCTCAGCCCGGGTCTTCATATACAGCTGTGCAGGTTGTGCAGTGCACAACTTGGACAACAGCACACGACAGCCATGCCTCAGCTCTAGGACTTTTTCTTCCACGATTCCAAAGCCCTGACCTTTTCACTGTCTTCTCTCCTGCACATGCACAAACACATCCATGCTATGAGTGGCACGAGGATAGGCTCTCACCTCCTGTGGGTCATCTTTGAAGGTGCTGTCTGGCTGCCAGCGCTGCGTGGGCGGCACCCCATGAATGCTCTCGAACAAGGAGTTGAGGGAGCCATTATCGTACATGTCACTGCTGGGCAACAGGTAGCTGTCCACAGAGCCAGCCTCCAGCTTGCTGGGGCCTGGTGGGAGGGCGGCTGCCTTGCCAGGGGTGGGCGTGGCCCCCTCCAAACTCATCAGGTTATTCTTCTTGAGCAGATCCGGGTACTCTGGGGCTCCGGACACACTCTCCGTCAGGAATTTCATGAGGTGTGTGGGGCTCTCGAGGGGGGCGAGGTCCGTCTCATATTCCATGCCAAGGTAGTGCCTGGAAAGAGAGAGGAATGGCTGAGTGAGTAAACTTCTTCTCTCTGGGGCAGAGGGGTCCTTGGCTAGCCTGGGGGACCCCACACAGATGCACTGACCTTCTTGGATCCAATGTCACATTTCGGCCCACCCAACACGCGTGAAGCAAGACACTGCGGCAGGCCAATGGGTCACAGGGATGAGCAGGGAGGAGGGTGTCAAGAATGGAACCAAGTACAGGCTCAGGGTTAGGGGGAAACATCTGATTCACCCATTATAGTACTTGCTAATTTTGAAAAACTGAAAGTCTAGTCATCTACTTCTCAGCCACAGTCAAATGTCCCTGTTTCAAAATGTTCCCACTTCAAAACAACCGTATTGAGTCACGCCATGGGGGTGTGTACAGGCTCAGGGGCAGTGTGCATCTGTGCGTGCAGTTAATATATGCTTAGAAAAAGGTCTGGAAAGATACACCCCAAACGGTTAAGGTAGACAGGGGTATAGGATTATAGGAAAATTTTACTTTTTACTTGATACATTTGTATAAGTTTGAATCTTTTGCAAGAAACAGGTATTGCTTTTGTAATCAGAAGAGCTAACATTTCTACAAATTAGTTCTGAGAAAGGCTCCCACTCTTCCTGGAAGTGGGGGGAATGACCCCAAGCCAGCTGCACGCTCATGCCAGCTTACAGGAAGAGCTGCACACCTGCCTTAGCAGTGTGTGGATTTTCCGGAAGGCAGAGAGGGGCCCAGAAGGCTTCCCACCAGAGGTCCTACCCGTCAGTTTTGAGAGGTCACCCAGTTGGCCGGGAAGAAGAAAGTGGAGAAAGAGGGGCAAGGTCCTTGCAGTGCCCATCTAGCCATGAGCATGGCCTGGCCTGCTTTCTGAAAGAAAGGAACATTGGTGCCCCGAGGCACTGATGCCAGGCAGAGGCCCAGTAAGCTGGGGGGAGACGTACGGGAACCCAGATGTCCCCTCCCCAAGAGGCTGCAGGGAGGAGGGTTTTGGAGCTGGGACAGAAAGGCTGCCTCCAGGGCATTTCCACTAGGAAGGCTTTGAAGTTTGTTTTCAGTAAACTCAGGCCCACACGGCCTGCAGGCACTTGAGAGAGAGAGAGTGAGTGTGTGTGTGTGTGTGTGAGAGTGTGTGTGTGTGAGTGTGTGTGTGTGTGTGTGTGTGTGTGTGTGTGGTCTTCTAGCAGAGTTTCACTATAACTTGCATGGGCCCTAGGCTCTTTTCTGCCTTCACTGGCCCCTTGAAAAATATTTTAAAATGCATTATATTAATTTTTAAATTAATATATTGATAAATTAATTATAAGTATTATGGTAATCTTTCCTTCGGATTTTAAAAGAGACTAAAACACTTTCGTGGGCCCCAAAATGTAATGTGTGGCGGGTCCTGGGCGCTGCCCGCTCCCCCGCCCCGTGCCTAATGGGTAAATAATGCTGTGCCGAGAGCCCCGAGGTAGAGGTGAGGGTGAAGGGCAAAGGTGCAGGGAAGGTGCGAAGGGCAAAGGTGCAGGGAAGGTGCTGGCAAGCCTCACCTCTTTCCTTGGTCCATCCTGCCCCCGGTGCCGGAGGACAACATCCGCTTCTCCTTGGGGCCCTGAGAGGAGAGGAAGGAAGGATTTACTCGCAGCTCTTGGTTAAGATCTGGCTGGCAGGAACCTCAACCCCTCCGGGGGCTTTGGCCAGGCAGGGGAGCAACCTCCGTCCCTTGCAGAAAACCCATAAGTCCTTCGCGTTGGCAGGAGCTCTATCCATCATTAGTCTGAGCCCCAAGTTAGAGAGCAGAAAGAAGGAGCATGGAATTTGGGGTCAGGGGCCTGGCTTGAGTTTTAGCTTTGCCATTTCAAAAGGCATTGTGACTTTGGGTAAATGACTACACCTCTCTGAGACTCAGTTTCTTCATATGTCAAGTGGGGAATTATAACACCTACTTAAGGGGATTATGAATGTTAATAAAAATAATACTTGATTTTTTTTTTTTTTTTGAGACAGAGTGTCACTCTGACGCCCTGGCTAGAGTGCTGTGGCATCAGCCTAGCTCACTGCAACCTCAAACTCCTGGGCTCAAGCAATCCTCCTGCCTCAGCCTCCTGAGTAGCTGGGACTATAGGGGCACAACATTACATCCAGCTAATTTTTTCTATGTTTGGTTCCCCGGCTAATGTTGTTCTATTTTTAGTAGAGACGGGGTCTCGCTCTTGCTCAGGCTAGTCTTGAGCTACTGAGCTCAAGCGATCCTCCCATCTAGGCCTCTAGAGTGCTAGGATTACAGGTGTGAGCCACCACGCCCGGCCCTTGATGTTTTTTTTTTTTTTTTTTGAGACAGAGTCTCGCTTTGTTGCCCAGGCCAGAGTGAGTGCCGTGGCGTCAGCCTAGCTCACAGCAACCTCAAACTCCTGGGCTTAAGCGATCCTCCTGCCTCAGCCTCCCGAGTAGCTGGGACTACAGGCATGTGCCACCATGCCCAGCTAATTTTTTTCTGTATATATTAGTTGGCCAATTAATTTCTTTCTATTTATAGTAGAGATGGGGTCTCGCTCTTGCTCAGGTTGGTTTCGAACTCCTGAACTCAAACGATCCGCCCAGCTCGGCCTCCCAGAGAGCTAGGATTACAGGTGTGAGCCCGGCCCCTTGATGTTTTTTAATAGAGGACTTCATATATACTGGGCCTTGTACCAAGTGCCTTCCAATCTCTAATTTAACCCTCACAACCACTCTACCTACTGATATTATCCCACTATACAGATGAGGAAACTGAGGCTCAGAGAGACTCTATTGTCTTAGTGCTTAGAAGCATGACCCTGAATCCAGAGTTTTGGGTTCAATTTCTAGATCTACTGCATCCTAGCTGTGTGACCTTGTGCAAATACCTTAACCTCTCTGGATCACATATCCTCAACTGTAAAAACAGACATAATAATAGAAATACCAACCTCAGGAATTGTGTGAAGTGCTTACAACAGCATCTAGCACATGGACAGCAATATATAAATATATGCCCTTTTGCGATTATAATTATACTATTGCTATATCACAGAACTTTCTAACTCATTTGTCCCTAAGGATGATAAAGCCAGAACCAGGACTCTAATCCAATCTAGCAACTTCAAAGCCTGGGCTCTTAACCATTCTCCATGGGACAGTACGAGGGAAGGAGCCTGACACAGTGCCAGGCATTCAGTAAGAAATGTTAAGTGGATGCCTTTAGCACTGTGTTGTGGCAGGACCAGGTCTCAAACTCCCAGTTTCACGTTTTCTGCTCCATCGGACCATGCCCTCACCATCCACAGGGCTTCTCTGGATCTGGAATACTGAGGGAGGGGGAGGGCAGGGCAGGTGTGTCTCACCCAGACACTGTTCTTCACCAGAACCAATACTGTGGGTGTCCCCTTCAGAGCCTGTCCCCACCATTCTGGCCCTGGGAATGGCCTCTCGCCCAGGGCAGATGATGCTGGATTTTGTTTTATGGTCCAACCTCAACCTATAAATCCCAGGCTGGGGTTTGAACCCAGACCTAGAATTCTGGCTCCTACCATGGCCCCAATAAAGGGCCTAAGTCCTGTTCCTAGAAACGGACATTGCCCCAGAGTCAAGGCCAAGGCTCTGGAAATAATTCCAGAACAATGGAAGACATGATGGCAGCAGGGGTAGGAAGGGCAGTAAGATGCTCGGGGGAGGGAGAAGTGATGTGGTGGGACGGCTTCCGGGAGAAGCTGGGCCTTGGGAAGGGCCCTGAAGGAAGGGAATGGGTTAAAGAGCAGAAGGCATGTTTCAGCCAGTGGGGCAGGTGGGGAAGACAGGGAAACTGGTGTGATCTGAGGGCCAGAAAGAAGACAGTGGGATGGGGGTGTTGCGGAGACGGAGAGCGCTCGGCCAAGGCGAGGGGTGGTCAGGACTCACGCGCTCAATCAGTACGTGTTGTGCACCGTGTGGCGGGCTCTGTGGCGTGCTGGGGACTCTGTGATGATCACAGTGTGGTTCCTGCCCCCCAAGAGCTCAGCCTCGTGAGGGAGATAGAGAAATAGATGTGCAAATTGCAAGTTTCTAAAGACAGAGTTAAGGATAATGATGGTGGTTGCTAAGGGTGACCAGAGGAGGCCCAGAGGAGAGACCCAAGAAAGCCTCCCCCCCACGAATGAATGAGGTGACATTTAAGCTGAGACCCAAAGCTGAGAATAGGCTTTAGCCAGGGATAGGGGAGGGTGCCAGGCAGAGGGAACCGCGTGTGCAAAGGCCTGCGGGGTGGTCACGGTGGGCTGCTGAGCCATGAGGCCCGAAAGCCAAGACACGGGTTCACTCAGACAGGGCATGCCCAGAGGGGCGAACGCACCATGTAGTAATCGTAGAGGAAGCTCAAGGCTGCAACGCTGTCATCGTCCCCGTTGACCCTCATCATGGCCTTCGTGGCAGCCGTCAAGGGGTTTTCCAGGTACGTCTTCCAGGCCTCATCCTCACTAGTGTAGGGGAACTTCTGGAAGTTGACTGGGTCATTCTTCAGCAGCCGCACAGACCTGAAACTGAATGCAAGTAAGGAGGGTCAAATTTATGCCATCCCAGAGGAAGGTCCATGCATGGGCGGCCTCAGGCCAATGCCAAGGAATTCTGGGAGTTACTGGCTTTGGAAACTAGAAACTGTTCGGCAGTGTGGGGCACAGAATGAACACAGACTCTGGAGCTTGCTGCCACGTAGAAGCTGCAGACCTGGGACCTCAGTTCCCTCATGTACAGCATGAGGACCATCAGCCTGACCTTGCAAAGCTACAGAGAGGATTCAACAGAACACTTCCGCAGTGGACACTTATGCAAGGGGAATTAGTGCAACGGATGGGAAGCGAAACGACAAACTGCAATGTGGTAACGACACAATTTCTGGATAACCCATCACGAGTCCTTCTGAAGAAGTCCTCAAGACCGTGAAAGACACAGAAGGCTGCAGAGCGCTTCAAGCCAAGGAGAAAGCGCGGCCAATGACCGAGAGCGCCAGGGTGAGGAAGCCCTGCGGCAGCACCTGGTCTTGGGAAATGGCATTTCGGAGGAGCCTTTGTTGCAGGGCGCTAGAGCAGCTGCCCAGAGGCCCCCAGCTGGAGTCGACTGCAGCAGGGCACTCAGAGGCAGGCAGGCCCTGGGCACTGGTGCTGAGAAGCTTGGACAAATACAAGGCATCGTCGCTCAAGAGACAAGCCGCGTGGGCTCGAGGGTAAGCGATCAGGAAAGGCTTTCTGCAGGAGGCAGACATTTTAGTTGGGAAAACTCAGCACCGGGGATTATTTCACTGAGATATGGCGGGTAGGGGTGGGGATATAATACAGAATAATGGTGATGGTGGTAAAAGTAATCTCTGCTCTTTATTGAACATAGATCGTATCTTAGGCACTGAGCTAAGCACTTTGCATGAATTATCATCGCACTTACTGCCCACAACTACCCTGTAAGGCAGGTACTGTTATTATTCTTATTTTGCAGTGGAAGAAACTAAAGCTCAGAAAAGTTAAAGGAGTGGTCCGAGGTCCCAGTAGGAGAGTGGCCTCGAGGGGATTCTCGCTCCTGCAGGATGGTGCTGTGGTACAAAGTAGTGTTCTCAAACTCTAGCTGAAGGCTTGTTAAAACACAGACTGCTTACACAGCGGGTGACTATAGCAAAGAACAACGCAGCGGCTATTTCAAGACAGCTAGAAGATTTTGAATGTTACTCTCACAAAGAAATGACAAATGTTTAAAGTGATGGCTATGGTAATTACCCTGATTTGATCATTCGATGTATGCATGCATTGGAATAATCACACTGTACCCTATAAATAGGTACAATTATTATATGTCAATGATAAATTTAAAACATTAATTTTAAAAAACACAGATTGCTGGGCCCCACCCCTAGAGTTGCTGATTCACCAGGTGAAGGGTGGCTGAGAATTTGTATTTCTAACTTCCCAGGTGACACTGATAGTCTGGGAGCCACATTTTGAGGAGTCACTGTTAAAGCATACACTCTTAAGCAAAGGCATCTGAGGGGGTGTATTCATTTGAGAGTGAATGAAAATAAAGTGTGTGAAGGATAGTGGGGGATAAGAAGATGGGGTTGTCCAGGTTGGGAAGAGAGAGCCCAGAGGTGAAGTGGGCGCTGACCGGTCTCCTGGTGCCCAGTGCACTGGCATGACTGTCGTGTACACAGATGCTCTCCTTTCCTTAGCCCCTTCTCACAAGGACACTACAAGGGAAGGACCATTTGCTTCACCTATAAAGGTGAAGAAACCTGAGTCTGAGAGAAAGAAAATGCCCAAGATCATCCAGCTAGTCCACGATACAACCAGGACTTAAACTGAGCCTCATCCAGCACCAAAGCCAGCACTTACATTCAGACACACCGTGTTCTGTGTGCAGGAGGGCAATCTTTGCCACCGCAGAAAAATGCTTTAGTGGTAAAATGTCAACGTGGTGGCAGACTTGTGGGTGGCCAAGGACCTTTAAATCATGCTGCTACAAGTGCCCGCCTGCCACCCAGCTGCGCAGGCCCACATTCTCAGACTCTAGTGGGAACAGAGTCTGAGACCAGGCCAGACGTAGGCACACTGAAGTGGCAGCTCTCGCAGGGGCTTCATCCAGGGTAGTGTCTCCCATCCCACTGGGCCCCAGGGTGTGGGGAGTTGGGCTCTGAGAAGGAGAAGGAGAGGGAGCTGTCACACAGGAAAGAGAAATGACAGAAACCTTCCTGCTCTAGGGGCGTGGAGAGTGAGGCACACCCTGAGTTTCTGCTGCTATAAATCAAGGGTCCTCAGGATGCAGAGGTGAGAATAGGTCTCGCCTAGTTGCCTCCTGGGCCTGGGGCTAGAGGAATTTACCAAGCAAGCCCAGGGGGGCCACCCTGACCCCTGCCAAAGAGACCCAGGCCAAAGAGAATTCTCAAAGCAAGGAGGCCTGGGAACAGCAGGGAAGTAAGTGCATAGTCCTCTAGCCCCTGATCAACCAGGATTACCAGTGCTTAGCACCATTCCTCATTGTTAAATAAGCCTAATAAAAACACCCACCACATCAGATTATGAGGATTAAGTGCGTTGGCATAAGAAAACTGCTTAAAACTGTGCCTGGCATACAAGTGCTTAATATACACAGCCATTATTATGCTCCAGGCCAGCATGCAGCTAGACAATGAGCAGTTGCAAAGGGTGCAAGACATGGTCACACTGCAAGGCAGTGGCAGATCTGGGCCTAGAGCCCCAATTTGCTGACTGTTAGTGGAATGACCACTAACAGTTTTGATGAGCTATGAGTTATCTTACCTTTTTAAAAAATAAATTTTAGAAGACAACAATAAAGCCACACAGAAACAAAAGAACATACAACATTTGCTGTCCAACAGGGAGGTTTTTCTGGCCTCAAGGGTCTCGGATCCACCCTGTTAGGACCCCAAAGTCTGATTCCTTGACAAGCAGCAGCTGCTGCACCTTAAGCGTTTCCCACAGGCAGACACAGCGTCAGCTGTTCCTGTGTCCTCTCATCTACTGCACACGATAGCCTGAGAGACAGGAGTTATCATCCCCTTTTGCAGAAGGGGAAATTGAGACTCAAACAGAAAATATCACCTGCTCAAGGTCTCTCAGCAAATAAGTGATGGAGGCTCAACTTGAACTTGGACCTGTTGGATTGCACAATGCAGCCCTTAACCCCTGGGCTAGTATCCTTTCTAGAAGGCTTTCCTATTCTGGAAAATTTCCTCCTCTGATACACATTGAACCAATTCTCTGCTGCAGGGTAGAAAGGAACTTCCCACCCACACAAGGCAGGAGGAACTAAGTAAGAAGGCAAGCTGACGACTGCAAGAGTTTGTGGCTAGGTACTGGATGCCCTATTGTCCTGGTCTCCAGGCCTGCTCATGCCACCAATCAACCTCATGTTCCAAGACTATGCATTTGGCTTCTAGAAAGTCTTGACAATGGATAAGGTTAACATTGACTTGTGTGTCAAATCTTAAAATCCAAGAACTTTTGGCTCTTGACAGTGGATAAGATTAGCATTGACTTGTGTGTCAAATCTTAAAATCCAAGAACTTTCGGCTCTCTGCTTTCTTGAAGATTGAAAAGGAGAATTGAAGACCCAGTGGGTAAGAGAGAGAAAAAAGTTATCCCAGGAGCGGATAGTGGATCAATGTGAAAAGTGTTCCAAGGAGCAAGTCCTACTCATGGGCAATATGGCCAGAACAGAGAGGGGAAACCAGGTACGCCCCAACCTATATGGTCAACTCTCTGTTGGTGTCCTTGTCCAAGATAGAACTCCTGAGCTATCAGAAAGTGAAAGGGAAATGGGGGAGGAGGGGATGTGCAGAGGACTTGGCCCTGGGGAACATTTGTGACATCACCTCTTTACCAGGGCACAGCACGGGGAGCAGCTCCAGGGCCGCAGCCCATGGGTCTGGTAACTATGTGTCCTTGGGTAAGGCTCTTAGCCCTTCTGAGCCCACTTCCTCATCTGTTAAATGGGTCTCCCATCTGCTGTGTGCCAGCCAGGGACTCTTCTAGGCACTGGGGAACTGGCCAACAACAAGACAGATAAGGCTCTGCTCCCATGAAACTTACAGTCTAATTGGGGAAGATAGACCATAAACAAGTAGGTAAATGAGTTAATTTTAGTGAGTGATAAGTGCTGTGAAGAAAATTAGAACATAGTAATAGAATGGAGAGTCACCAGGGGTGGCTACTTTAGAGTAGGGTTCATCTCATGGGTTGTTAGGAGAATTAAGTGCATTAACGTAAGAAATGCGCTTAGCCTAGAGCCTGCCAGAGGGTAATCACTCGGTACATAATAGCTATCATCACCATCATCACAGAAGCCCCAAATGAGAGCAAAGGGAGATTCTGTCTGAGGTTCTTAAATTATCATCCCCCCTCCAAGCCTTCTGTGAACCAGGTTCTGTGTCAAAAACAAGAGACAGTATAATAACACCCTGCCTTGACTTTCATTCATTATCTCATGGAGCCTCCCAACATACATGATGTGTTATTATCCCTACTTTACAGACCAGGAAACAGACAGCAAAGATGTTAGGTGACCTCCTGTCCTGGGACTGGCCGAATGAGTTACAAATCCAAGACTCCTGGGATCTGGCCTGGGAACTCTGTGACTGGTCACTTTTCCATCAAACCACTAGTTTCCAAGACGGGATGTAATAGAGAGGGAAAAGCAATAAACCCAGGTGGCATCATCCCCGTAGCCATCCATCCAGCATTTTAACAAATATTTATCAAGTAACTACTGTGTGCCAGAACTTGTCTTAGGAGAATAAGACGAGGTCATCCCTGCTGACATAAAGTTTACATTTTAGTGGCAACAAGACAGACATGACCACAAAAACAAACAGCTAATATGAAGAAAGCTAGAAAAAAAAAGAATCAGGAGAACTTCTAGCTTGCCTGAACTCAGGAGAGTGATGGATGTTGGTTGAGAAGAGGGGTGGAGAGGAAGCAGGAGAATGGAGATAGGTGGGGAGGACCTTGGACCTTCCAGATAAAAAGCAAAGCACGATCAAAGGCATCAGCTTGGGACAGCTCCCAGAGCTTGTCTGCCTACTGTGTGCCAGGTGTGAGCCAGGTGCTTTGCATATGTTGCTTTGTTTTAAGGAAGGCCAGCCCACTAAGAAGGAAACTCACATCCGAGATTAGATAATCTCTCACATTTGCATGGCATGTTATATATTTCAATGTGCTTCTCATACACCTGTCATCACCTCTGATCCTGCAACGCCCCTGTTAAGTAGGGAGGGAAGATATGATTGTCCCCATTTGATAGCAAGAAAAACTGAGCCATGGCATCAGGCCTAGAACTGAGGTCTTTGGATCCCAGCATCAAGAACCTTCACAAAACTGTCTCCTCCAAGCCTCCCAGTCTGCCTTCTCCTCCATTTGGGAGAGAGTTGGAAAAAGATCAAGAGAGAGGCGCTCAAGGGTCTACCTGATAGCCTCGCTTCCCGTGGCCTATTGTCCCCAGCCTGTGGGATGTGCAAACTGCCCTGGCAGCGACTCTAGGGTGAGTGAGGCCTTTCCCCAGCAGGTCGCTCTGGGCCCACAGCACAGAAGGGGTGTGGTACCAGCTGCTTCATGCCCAGTCAGCTTCTTAGCCTCCTGACTCCAGCACGCATCATTCTGGGCATCAGTATGGAGAAAGCCTAGTGGGGTTTCATCCCAGCAAGTCCGTTCTGACTCGAAATGCCCACTGCTTTCTGGCTAACTTAAAACTCCCAGCGAGACTAAGTAAATGCTGTCTCAGCCATTAGTTGAGACCTTTATCTTATGTTAGAATCCTAGCAGTTTAGGATAAAAAGAGACCTTAGAAAGCCACTCCCAGGGAGGGACTTGCCTAAAGACACACAGCATATAGCAGGACTGGGACTCAAGCCTCCTAACTTCATGTCCTGTGCTTAATTCAAACACTGCCCTGCATCATAAGCATCTCAGCAATTCACAGATGCAAAAGAAAGGACTCTTATTCAATTTTGCAGAAGGTGGCAGAAAACCCACCACCAAAGGGGGTAGCCTTGAGACCCACCAAAGGAGGTACCTGGCAAGCTAGGTCCCATTTCCCTTCAGCCTGAGGAGGAAGAGTTCCAGGGGCCACCTGAGCAGGGTGTTGACTCTCAGAAACACCCAGTCAACCACTTGCCAAACCCTGCTGTGAGCCACCCAGCCTCATTAGCAGTGATCAATCACACTCACTAATCACCCACAGGGAGGCCCTGCCACAACTGCTCACGGAAGAGTCATCCTTCAGTCAGCCCTATGCAAGGTGTTCCCGGGGCAGGACAGGGGTGCCCCAGGGTTCTTGTGCCTGCCAATGGCCCATCTGGTTTCTGGATGCACAGGTTGTGAAATGTGCCTTGTCACATGGGCTGGGGGCTCATTTGGGGGCCTCACTGGGGAAAAGGCAGAGTGTGGGGTATGGCTCTGTAGCAACTCCAGTTGGAATGAAACAGTATGAGCTCATGGTTATGGGGGTGGGCGCCAAAGCTAAGCAGACCTGGGTTCGAGTTCCAGCTCAGCTACTTACTAGCTGTGTGACTTTAGGCAAGCAACATGACATCTCTGTGCCTCAGTTCTCCTACCTATAAAATGTGTAACTATGAGAGGAATAACCTCACAGAATTATTATGATAGCTAGTGCTCATTGAAGCATTACGAACTGCCAGGTGCTGGCTGAACAATTTCTAGTCATTGTCTTAGCTGATCTTTACAACTTTGTGAAGTTGGAAGATGCAGGTAAAGTCGTCAGCATAGTGGCAGCACATAATGATGTGAATGAACTATTATTATCATTAATACTCACTTTGTGGGGTAGTCCCCAACAAACTGCATGACAATTCACAGCCTCACTTTCTTCCACCTATAAAATGGAACATCTCTTCCTAACCAGCAGAATCAGAACTGACACTTGGAAATTTCCAGATTAAGAGGAACAAGCACCACCAGCTTTCTCCTCTGGATCCAGATGGGTAAGTAGAGGGTGGTCAGGCTCCAGCAAACACTTTTAATTGCCTGGAAATTAATTATGTGCCCTTTTCTAATTACACCAGAAACTAACTTTCTCCCCTTTGAAAAATTCTTCCCTGTATGGGAGTTTTTCTTCCATGGTATATTGTCCTCTTGGTTTCTTGTCCAATTTTCCTTCCCTCCCCCCCTCTATTGTTCAACTGAGGTATGAAAGAAGTTGAAATCCACCTCTAAACCCAGGGTGCCACATCCCTTCATTCATTCACTCACTGATTCACTCAACAAACACTCATTGGGGATTACTGTAGCAGGCCATGTGCTGGGCACTGGGGACACAAAGGTGACTACCATGCTTGCTGTCCCTGCCCTCGAAAATTCCCAATTTTCGCTGACTTCCTGGAAAGGCCTAGTGAAATAACACCAAATATCAGGAAAACAATTTCCCTTCATGATTTTCACTAGGTCAGTTGTCCGGACCTTTCTAGGAGGCAAAAGGAACAGAGAGGCAGCCAGCCTGGATTATTTGCTGCATTTTACAAAATGGGAAAACTGAGTTTCAGAGAAAGGAGAGAAGGCAAGAGAAGGGAAAGGAACTAATTTAATACAGTCAGGCCTTGTGACTTTTCATTCTCAAACATGCCCTGGGAGGTGGGTGTTTTTATCACCATTGCACACATGCAGAAACTGACACTTAGAGAGGTTAAAGAGCTCATCCAAATCACCCAATCCATAGGTGGCAGAGTTGGGCTTTAAACACAGGTATGCCCCTGGAGCTAAACTCTCAGTCTGCTGACTCAGCAACCATACTGCAGGACAATAGTGGATTGGGGAAACCTCCTACCTCTCAATCCTCTGTCTGGTCTTTTTTTTTTTTTTTTTTTTTTTTTGAGACAGAGTCTCGCTTGTTGACCAGGCTAGAGTGAGTGCCGTGTGCCGTGGCGTCAGCCTAGCTCACAGCAACCTCAAACTCCTGGGCTCAAGCAATCCTTCTGCCTCAGCCTCCTGAGTAGCTGGGACTACAGGCATGCGCCACCATGCCCAGCTAATTTTCTATATATATTAGTTGGCCAATTAATTTCTTTCTATTTATAGTAGAGACGGGGTCTTGCTCTTGCTCAGGCTGGTTTCGAACTCCTGACCTCAAGCAATCCGCCCGCCTCAGCCTCCCAGAGTGCTAGGATTACAGGCGTGAGCCACCTCGCCCGGCCTCGGTCTGGTCTTCTAGGCCAGCAGTCCCCAACCTTTTTAGCACCCAGGAACCAGTTTCATAGAAGACAATTTTTCCACAGATGGAGAGTGGTGGAGGCAGGGAGCTCTGCAGCCTGGATCCTAAGAGGCCTCGGAGTGGTACTGGTCCGACTCCCAACTGTGGCTGGGAACCACAGTTTTGGCCAATGGTTTTTAAATTTGAACACATATCAGAATTTCCTGGAGGGCCTGTTAAAACAAATAATGCTGAGCCCCACCGCCAGAGTTTCTGATTCAGTAGGTCTAAGGTGAGGCTGAGAATTTGCATTTCTAACAAGTTCTCAGGCGATGATGATGATGATGATGATGCTGCTGCTGCTGCTGCTGCTGGTCCAGGGACCACATTTTGAGAACACTGTTATAGGTGAACCAATAATTCTCTTTAATAAAAATGACTCCCTCTGACCTTGCTTCCTATTCCAAAAGTCACACGAGTTTGTAAAATACAAGTTTATAAATTGTGGAACCTACAGAAAAATAGGAGGCAAAAAATAGACTTCATCTACATTCTTCCACTCAAAGATAAGCCCTTTGAACAGCTTCGTCTTTTTTCAAAGTCTAACTACATAGGAAGAAGGGTGGCATATGGTTGTGGTGCATTGTCCTGGCCTCCCGGTTGAGATTCCAGCTCTTCCGTGGCAAGCCTGAGCCAAGCCTCGGTCTCCTCTCCTGCAAAGCTGCATTTACACTCCCATTCCTCACTGGGTTGTCTGGAGGGTTAAAGGAGATCCAGTATTTATCAAGCACTCCATACAATGTCTGATGTGGAGTCAGGGCCCAATAAAGGTTGGCTGTCACTGTTGTTTTAACCCCAAAGAAAGCTCGAGCCCTGCTGCCCTTCCTCCCTCCTGTTCCGCAGTGGGGGAGCTCTGAGGACCCGCTGGGCTCTGGCCACACCCTGCGGAGACCCGGCGACAGCCCTGGCCGCCGGGCCCTGGGCGCCCGCGCGCCCCCTCCCCGCAGCCCGCAGCGCCGCAGGAGGCCCGCGGCCGGGCGGCCGCCGTTAGGGCTGTCTCTCGGCCTCCCGGCCCAGGCCGCCGGTTTTACAGCCCGAGCTCAATGAGGGCTTTTAACTTTTCATTCACCAGCAGCGTAACTCCGACTTTTAATAACACACCTTGTGCACGACAAAAATTTGCTCCTGGCAATCATGGTTTCGACCACAAAACCACAGCGGGGCGGCGTTCCTGGTTAACTCTTTCAGCGCTCCAGGCAGTCTGGAGCCGGCGCTCCCGAGATCAGATAGGCCGTCGGCCGCCCGGCCGCGCTCACGACTGCCGCGGCTTCCCGCCCCCCGCCCAGCCGGTGGCGCCCCTCCGAGGCCGGGGTGGGTTGGGGGTCGGCGGGAGAGAAGACTCCTGCCCGCCGCGGCGGGGCCCACACCGCGGACGAGCGAGCGGCGGGGTCGGATCTGAGGCGCCGCCTCCGTCCCGTAGACCTACTACGTGCCGGGTCCCTTCATTGGGCGCGACCCCCGTGCCTCGGCTGTAAACGACGCCCGACTGGAGGGGAGGGTCGCGACAGTGCCCGGCACACAGTAGGCCCCCAGGGCCCCTGGGCGCGGGCGCCAGCTGTCCTCCTCGGGCGGAGGGCGGGCGGCAGCGACTTCCGGCGCCCGCGGCCGCCGCCCCGGCAGCCCTTGCGACCCGCTCTGGCCCCGGGCGGCGCGAGGCTGCGGGCTCGAGGCACCCGGAGCGGCTTGCGGACGCGCCCGGCGCTGGGCCCGACCACATGAAAGCCCCGGGCGCTCGTCACCTGCCAGCCACCTCGAGCTGGTTTCCAACCACACCGCCCGGGCCCCCTGCTTCTCGAGAGCCAGCCATGGAAGTGCCGCCGTCCGCCCGAGGCCTAGTTATCGGGCTGGGCCTCACGGGGCCGGGTGGTCCACATATGGGAGCTCACTGTTTTTCCTGACAGGTAGGTGTCCATAGCCCTCACCGTGCAGATGAGGAAACTGAGGGTCAGGGACTCCTCTTAACTCGGCACTTTTTAGGGAACAACAGCTCCAAACTTGCAAGCCAAGCACTTGGTGCCCCCCTCCCCCTTATCAGTAGGGGCAGCTGAGCCCCCAGGCTCTGCTATTGTAATCTCTAATGGTAGCTTCGGAGTCTGCCTGCCTGCCTGCAATTACTCAGCAGGCACAGGCTTCTCTCACCCCACCCCAAACAGAGAAGCCTCAACTGTCAGCGGATCTGACTTCAAATCCAACTCATTAGGGAGGAGAAAAGCAGGAAACCTTTCAGTGCTAGTAACCCAGCTTCAGGACACATAACACCTAAGGAGCAGCAATGAATAGACTGTCTGCAGTTTTAACCAGCAGATCTAAGTGGGATGGAGACACATCAAGACTTTGTGTGTGTTCAAAGTATGGGAAGATAGGAAGCAAGAGTTTTGGAAATACTTATTGGTTGGTTATTTCTATATGAAGTAACAATTGTATTATTAGCTTGCTCCCTACCAGGCTTAAAAACAATCACTATTCTAAAATTGTTGAATCCCCTAACAACTCCTTGAGGTGGGTGGCCACTATAAACTGCAATTTACAGGTGAAGAAACTGAGGCTCGGATGAAGTGACTTGTCCAACATGACACAGCTAATAAGTGACAGCTGGAACTTGAACCCGGGTGTCAGTGCCAATGCTCCTACTCTTATTCTAGTTGTGGTCCAATTGTCAACACATTGTCAACCCAGAAAATTCATTCAAAAGAAATGTAATGCCTTTTAACCTCGATGCTTGTACTGTGAACATAATTGGCCAACCCAGAAGAACCCAAGAGCTAGCTAATAACATAAAATCCTGTCTGCAATCAGGACCCACCGATTGCTCTGCCCACAGGTCTTCAAGTTCTTAAAACAATCTGTTGAGTAGCTAGAAAAAAAAGATTGTTCAACCCTTTCTTCTGCCCACTCACCTTTGAGGGTGGCAGGAAAAGGAGAGTCTGTATTTAAGAGATCTAGTTTCTCCTGCCAGCTCCCTGAACCCAGGCGAAAGCAGCCCAGATCCTAGCTTCATCCCACCTTCTCTGAGATCTGGACCCCAAGCAAGGGCTCCGTGGTCAAGGTCAGCATCGGTCAGGACCCTAAATCTCAGATGTGGGCAGGAAAGCACATGCATCCCGCCAGGCAACTGAGGTGACCTCACTGAAAACCACTTCTCAGCCTCCCCAGTCTTAGAGCTGCCTCTGAATAAATCAACCACATTTTATTGAACGCATCTTTAGATCTTGTCTCTGTGCTAAGCATTTTACAGCTTTTATCATACTAAACTCTTTTAAGAATTCCTACAAAGCATTTTTGTACCCATTTTTCAGATGAGGAAAATGAAGCTCAGATAAGTTAAATGTCTCGTCCAAGATCTCACAGCTTGTGAGGGACAGAGCCTGGATTTGAACCTAGGTCAAGCCCACTACAGAATGCACGTTTAACCACCACACGGTAACCTTCCCACTTGGGATGATTCTAACCCAACAAACAAGTCCCTTTAGAGAAATCCAACTCTCTGCCTAAGACAGCTCTTAGAACCACCTCAAAGAAGTTCCTTTTGGCAGGAAGAGAGAAAGCTTCGATAGGATTGGGGTTGTCTCTGACTTCCAGGGCCCCTTCAGAGTATCAAAAAGTGGTGCCAAAACCTCAGTTTCAGTCCTGTGTTTTCCTACCTGGCTCGAAACTGCTCAGCAGAGAGAAAGAGAAAAACTACTTTCCCAGGGAAACACTCAGCTCTCTAGCTCGAGACCAGGGCTTGCCTCGACACGCCAAAGCAAGATCGTCAGCCCATTCATTTACCCTTACAAATTGCTCTGGGAATCCTGGCGCCGGCCTCCCTGCTCTTCCCCGTCTTGGAAACCCTATCCAGCCTCCATGCTCAGAGAGCGCCAGGCATCCACTGATGTTTACTCACTCAAGTTCATTCGACATCTTCCTGCTCACAGGCTCCGATGATCGGCACTGAGACTCCGCTGACCGCTTGTCTCTAATTCTTGCCTGACACAGACATTCCCTGCCCAGGGAAGTGTTTGATTTATGTTGAGGTTTGAGTGTCGAGATTTTGCTGACAGGTAGGTTCCCAGCAGCGCTGGCGCTGATTGGCTGCAAGTACAGGTGCCGGCAACTGCAGGTATACCTCAACAGGTGCAGCTGTTAACTCTTGGCCCTCCGAGCAGGGCGGAGCTCTGGGGGACTGGCTGGGTGGAGCTGGCCAATTCCGTCCTTGGTGAGGGGGTGGGGGGTGGAGATGAGGGAGGAGGGAAGGAGAAAAAAATGTTGGTTGGAAAGAAGTGAGATAACTAGAGGAAAAATACAGGGACAAACAGATACTTGGCTTAAAGAAAGTCTTGATTCCTGTTTCTAGGAAACATCCCCCTCCCCAAAATTCCTTTTCCTCCTCCTCCTCCTCTACCATTAGGGAATTCTCAAAGGAGAGAGCAAATCTTCCCCAGGTGAGTCTCTTTCGAAGTTCTGTTTTTTTCAGAGATTTCCCCTTAAAGATAAAATCTTATTATGAATAATCTTTTATTCAAGTGATTTCTTTTGATTCTTACAGTAACTCACGATGGTAGATTTATTATGACTTCCTCCTTCCTCCCCAACACACACACTTTACAGATGAGAGAGGAAACGGAGGCCAGAGAGGTAAAGTGACTTGCCCAAGGGCACAAGCTAGTGAGTGTCAGAGCCCAGATCAGATCTGCAGTCATTTCATCTCCAAGTCTGGCTGCCCCTTGGGCTGAAGTCAGTGGTCTCAATTCAACAGACATTCAGTGAGCACCTATTGTGTGCCAGGGCCCACTCTGGGTTCTGAAGAAAAGCCAAAAAAACAGGGCTGCTACTCTAGAGGAGTTTGCAGTCTTGGGGTGTGTGTGTGTGCTGGTGGCAGGGAAGGGGAGGAGTAGGGTGGGAGCAGCCTTTTATTTGGCGTGATACGGATCTGAATGGGGTGTGGGCACACCACATACCTCTGGCCAGCACGGGAGGGATGGAAAAGTTGAAGCTGGCCACCTCTGAAGCCTTAGCCAGCTGGTCATTTCACAAGCTCTAAGTGCTTCGTTCTGTATTGGGAACTCAGGAGAAATCAGATGCCTGTTAGACAAAGTAATTGTAGAATAATTGCTGTGAGCTGTCTTCTATAATGAACAAGGTTGGTAAACCCCAGAATATCCACGAACACAAACAGGAGAATGTTAGAGGTTTTTTAAGAGCTTCCGCCAGGATTAGTTTGAAATTAAATCTAAGCCAAAGATCTTGGTATCTTTTTTCCCCCTTCTCTCCTCCCCTTCTCCTTTTGGCAAATTACCTCTTTGCTCTGTCTTCCTGGGAACCTCAGCTTGGCTCATTCCGTTCTCTTTAGAGGAAAGGCAAGTGGGAATTTAGCTACTCCTGCCAATCTGACGGAGATTTTCCAGGGTAAAGTCAGAAGTCAAAGGAGCCCTCTTGGGGTGGAGGCGGGCCTGTGGAGAAGGGGATACTGAGTTTGGTTTCTCACTGGAGGCTCTGTTGGGGCAGCCCAGGGGACCCTGGCAAATAATAGTTATAATATTGCCAATAAAGCCACTTCTCAGAGCAGCCCTCTCCACTCACTTTTGTTAAAGTGGATATTCAGTCACTCTATCATACCAGTTTATTTTGTGCTCTGCAAAGCCCTTATGACTTTTTGATATTTTTCTAATTATTGAATGTCTATCTCTCCTTCCTTTGGAATGTGAACTCCATAAGAACAAAGACCTTGTCTGTGTTGTTTACTGTTGGGCCCCAGTGTCTAGCACCTAGTATGTGCTCGATGTACTGCAAGTCTCAGGCATTGCGCCAGGCCTTTACATGCATTATCTCATTTAAACTTTACCACAACCCTGGGGGTAGGCACTTTCATTATCCCTATTTTATGGATGAGGAAAGTGAGGTAAGAAAATGATCAAGTAAACTACTCACGGTGCAGAGCTAGGCAGTGGTAGAGCTAGAGCTGAGGTTTAATTCCAGAGCAGAGCTCTGGTTATTGGTGACAGGAGGGCTGTCTGGTGCCAGCTGTCACTGCAGAGCTTGCTGCAGTCCAATGGATGGCATGCTTCTCTGTGCGTACCTGTCTGCCCACCTTGTGGAAGGCTGTGGAGTTTCGTCAGCTATGTTGCAACGCACAGGCGAAGGGCTGTGGGGTGACTCATGCTGGCTGGGCTCAGGGGGAGGCTGGGATTCCAGGTGGCGTGTCCGTGCTCGCTGGGCTTTTTTAAATGGGTCTTCTCCCTCTGCCTCTGGGTCCTGCCTCTTTCATCACCCGCTCCCATCTTCAGAGATCAGCAGAGACCCAAACAAATCATGAGGCAGGGGGTTTCTATGTCTCCACATGTGGGAAGGCTCCAGAAGGTGCCCCCGGTTAGGACAGAGGGACTAGTGGTCTGAGGTAGGTAGGCAGGGATGGCATGAGCCAGTTTGCAAGGTCACTAGACCCCTCCAATAGGAGTTATACCTCTCAGTCAGGAGGCATGGGCTGTTCTAGGCTTTCTGTCCAAATCAGAGATGCCAAGGTTTTAAAGAGACTACCCTAGCTTTGCTGCTGCCCGTTTTCTATTCCTGTGTAGCATGGGCATGGCCCAGGGGCGGGTGAGGCTGACACCTTT